CACACACACACACACACACACACACACACACACACACACACACACACCCACACACACACACACACAGTATGAGATTCAAATCTATAGAGGAAGTAGGCCTACAACACTGTTTTTTGTTAGATGCTAGATTGTGGCCACAGAACGTCTTACTCTGCTCCCACTCTTCCCCTGACCCTAACCAATCTCACTCCTCATACACAAACCTTAGCATATGGACTCTTCTAACCTCCTGATGATCGATCAGTGCCAGGGGACTGAAACAAGCCCGTTTTCTTGACTGCCTAAACTGACTCATTTCAAGACAAAATGGCCTTTTTTACAGGCCAAAATAAGTTAGAATCTTGTATATTTTCACAGTTTCCATACCCATTTTCAATGCTATCCTATGTGTATAAATTACTCAGTACAGTTTGTGTGTAAACTACTTATTAAGTTATATCAACTCTAGTAAAAGATTTTCAGTTCATGTGTTTAATGACTGATGACAAAATCAGTTTGGTCACTTTACATAATTTGCAATCAGGCGCTATCCTACCTACTGCAGTTTCTAAAGGTGCAAAGTCTGAGGAATAACACTGGCTGTCATGCAATGACTTGCCACTTAGTTTACCTGCTGCCACAGTGCGCTGTGTTCCCAGCATGCAGTGCACACGTCTCCTGCAGCATACACATCTGGCTCTGATGTCATCATGTGGTCATCTACCTGCAGCCCGCCATCGTCTGCCAGTGCAAACTAAATACGTAAAGCCCCCCCCCCCCCCCAAAACAAAATCAGCATTTCGAACCAAAGTATAATTAATACTAAATGTTCACAAATGGGTAAAACAAAGTAATTAGCAAACTCTTTCCTGTAAAATGCACATTTGTTTTGAGGGGGAAAAGGCTTTCCAAAGGGAATTCAACACTATTGAATTGATAAAAGTTGATCTGTCCTTTTGTGATATCTAGAGGCCTTAATACCCCGCTGCATTACATAACCTCAGACTGTGTACAAGAAGAGGCAGAATTGCAGTGCTGTAGCAATTAAAAGAGTACAAGAGGGCTGCCTTCGCAGACCTAATGGTCAATGAACAAATTTAGTCCTGATTTGCCACTTGATGTGCTTTTCTAACTAGCTGGTCAGCTGTGTGACCATATGATGAATAAGAAACAACAGGAATTACTTGAATCTCATAGAAAACTACAAAGGTACCCTAAAGCAAATATGACACGGGTGAGTTTACTTACATTGTTGCCGTGGAGAAATGGCTCAGTGTTCGGCACGACACCGGTGGCACTGACAACAAAATCACAGCCAAATGTTTTTCCATTTGTCAGCTTGATGTAAACTGGCCAGGATCCTTCTGAGGAGAGAGAAAAGCTCAAGGGGTGAAAAGTTGGAGGGGGGAGAAAAAAGGGAGCGAGGGAAGGATGAGTCACAGGTCAAATCCGAGCAGCCGGTCTTGTTCTCACCGTTCTCAGGTCTGAATGTTTGCTGAGGGGAATTGAGCAGCTCCGCAGAGGTGAAGATCTTTTCCACCTCACACTGGTATTCCAGTGAAACTCTGTGGGACAGCTGAGCACACGCCAGCAGAGGGAGGTGAGCCAGGAGGAGAGGAGGAAGGTGTAACATAACAGAAGGTGAAGACATGCAGACGGTGGCATCTACACAAATAAACTTCCTAAGCTGACCACCGTGCTTGAGGATTGGCACAGAGGCTCTCAGTAACAAAAGCGGACACACTATCTCACCTGCTCTGCTCCTCGTAGAACTATTCCCTCGTGCCAGTCTGGACCGAGGGCACTGCCAGCCTCTGTAGGACCAGAACCATGCCTTCGTGCGTTTTTATCTTGAAATGAACACACAAAAACAAGAATATCATCATGTTGGGACAGATGCTACTGTAGCAGGAAAGAAAACGAGGATATTTATGTGCAATACATTTTGAATAAAAATAAAATGAAGACCTGCTGTGAAGGTCTGGGACGCTCCTGGTCCTGGTTCCTCTGTGGTGTAGCGAGGTCTCTTACAGGGAGCAGCTTTTCCTGGTTTGTCCACCTCCAGTGATGGAATGAGGAACTGTGCTGCCCCGGCGTCAAAGAAGGTGTTTCCTATGGCCTTGTCCTTCACAGCCCAGATCACCTCGCAGCCCTCCACTTCATACCTATAGAGAAGATGTTCAGAGACACAGAGTGACTGGACAAGTGAATAATCTTTGAACATGGCGCTAACGTTTTATGAAGGGGTTTCATATTGGCTCATATTTGCTCTTTAGATGGAAGATCGTAAACATTTCAATTTGAATAATTATGACAGAGACATAGGAACCCAATCACACATGTCCGAAAAAGTAATACATGAAACTTTTGTTTCAGTATTTTGGTTATAGTTTACTTACACTAATTCCAGGGCAATCCCACCATTGCCAACAACAACGATTCTCTTTGCGCTGGATAACTGCTTTTGAAGATGCTGAAACACAAAAACATGGGAAACTGTTAAGCATCAACATGTGTATTTATTTTTGTTTTGTTTAACCCCTGACCCCTTAACCGCTGTTATGTGTTGTTTTCACCATTTCTAGATAATGTCTACATTCAAATGATAGAACTATATACATTATGTTATTACCTTCATGCTTTAAACAAATGCAACAGATACTGGAGCAGTTGGAGTTGTTGAAATGTTACTGGATGTACTTTTGCGGAGAGGCCCAGTGCTGTGGAATGTACTGTACCTTAGCAGAAACATCACATTCACAGGGAAGGACGTAAATGGCACACAGCACAAAACACAAACAAAATAAAGCCGAAGGGTGTTCTTTCTTGTTACTTATTTGTTCAGTGTCTTAAGGAATTTCAGACCTGCGTGTCAATAACTATGCAAACACCCAGAGGGTTGTACCTGGGCGCTGTCTGTGTCCCGTATCCCCAGGACATAAGGGTTGTCCCAGGTTAGGAGCTTGGGTGTGCCCCCTCCGCAGATACACAGCTTCTCATAACCGAAAACCCGTCCGTCTGCGGTTTCCACAGACTGCAAATAGAAAGAAGAACGGGAAGTAGAGATTCATTTTCCCATCAAGCTTTGACTTTAGTTTCTCTCTTCTCACTTTGGTAAAGTAGTGTTTCTTTTCACACACTGGTGTTGTATTTTGGACATAAAACTCATAGTCTAATCACAGCCCTATATACTGCACTTTCACCACGTGCTGGAGCCGCATGTCCACAAGATGGCGATAGTAGGCTGATAATAGTCACCAAAAAGCCTTTGTTGAAATATGTTGCAGGAAATCAGTCTGAATTGTAATGAAATTATAACATTATAATCAGTAAACAACTAATGGGGAATTACAGCAGGGTTGGCTTAATATTTACAGTTGTTAGTTACATACAAATAATACTAGCAGTCCCTATTTCTTATTAAATCTAGAATACCAAGCCAGAAACAACATGTTATCTAAACACAGCAAAACATAAAATACAAAATGATTGTATTTATGCACACTATCTAGATCTATCGGTTTCTGCTCAACTCTGCAAAACAGCTACTTACATGTGATTGTGTGTCAAGTGATTTCACAGCAGAGTGGATGACAGTAAGGTTGGGAAACTTCTCCACCAAAACACTGGATGGTCGCTCCTCAACATCGAACTCTTCTAGTGTCTTGGACACCTTGCCAAGGACAACAAAAGAAAAGGGTACAGAATATTTAGAGCAAATTGTGTAGGACAGGTGTTTGACACATCAATACAAACTAGAATATATCCATAAAAATATAAATAAGTTTTAATATCTGATAAACGTATATTAATTGTACGAGAGACCACGTGGGAAACAAACCCTGTCTGTTTTTAGTGCGCAATATGTGTATGTATGATGTTTCCCCTCAATTCCACCACCACCATCATCATCATCATCCTCCTGACCTGTTTATAGTTGGTCACTGCCTTGATATGGGGACCTGCTGTAATCAGAGCCACGTCAGCTGATGGAATCTGGGATGACAGCTGTCAGTGAAGATTAAAGTCAATGCATCGTAGCTATAGGACATGCACTACAGTACAGCCTAGGTACCAAGCTAGGTTCATAGATATATTCTGTGTAGACCTTACGTGATACTTAACAATTCATTTTTCACCTGCTCAACACATGTCACACCCGCGATGCCACCTCCCACGATCACAAACCTAAATGTCTTCTCTTTTCTGTCTGCCATTCCTTATAGAAAATTGCAAAGCTAACGGTATCTAGCTAACACTAGCTCTCTTTGCATTTTCAGACAAAATGGTGGTTATATATTTTTCTCTCTCTGCATGGACACTTTGATAAACATTTAAGACCCAACTGGTAATTGGTAAGAGTGTTTAAATGCTCTAAAACAATTCCTGTGATAGCTGGATGCCCAAAATTTTCTTTAGCACATGACAATAGAGCACAGAGGCAACGTAACTTCCGTGTTTACAAGTAACTACGGCAAGCAGCAGGAAAGTTTTCCAATCGCACACACTGAAGGACGCGCTTTGACATACGTTTGTGAGACACCACAGGTCTATGGAAGGAAGAATATCGCATAGTAACTACAATATGTACACATATGTCAAAACTTTATTTTTTATTTTTAGTCAATGCGTGGCGTTGTTGTTGTCAGTATGATTGAAAGTTTCCACATTTAATATGAATGCCTCTCTCACGCTTGAAGGCATTCACGTAAAGACATACAGGATCACAGGAATATTTTTTGCAAAAAATTATAATCGCTGGATTCCATTTAGCTGGTTTAGTTTCAGGATCCTGCTAGAGTATTGTGTAATGGCTCCCTGTCATACTGTCTTGGCTTATTGGGACAGTCAAACAGAACAAGGCCATGGAACTCTAGTAAGATATTTTCCTACTTTGATAAGTAGAAATGTCTGCAATGAAAAGAGCCTAACAAAGTAAGTTAAATCAATTTAAAATGATATGTAACTGATTTGAAAAAGACTTAGGCCCTGTATGTTTGTTTAACTTCTTCACCAATACAAACAGAGCTTCCCTTCCACCCATGCATCTAATTTCCAGCCAACCCTGTGCAGTGCCATGTGATACCTAATTATATTTACAAAGATTTGTTCGTGGGCATACAACATCATTTAATGACTTGTTTCACATATCTGCAGTGCTAGCTATAGTAGGGTCAATTATGTCCCCACCTACTCAAACAGCCTACTGTACAGTATGCAAGATTAAAAACCCAAATCTTTTTTATTTTACCCTATAGCTAAATCCACCATGTCATAATTTGCATTGGCATTTTGTGCGTTTGTCAACGATGATTGAAAATATAGGGCAATTTTAATATCACAAATTAGAATTAGAATCACCTTTAATGGCTAAGTAGGAATAGACTAAATGAATGTAACAGCTTTAAGTGCCCCTCATTTACACAGTCATGGCATAAGGTAAAATGTAAATATACAAAATGCACAAGTTGCTTAATATACAGAGCAGTATATTCAGTCTTTGAGAGAAACATTTGGCAATGAAAGGATATTATTGCTAGAATCAGAAAATGTTACCTTATGTTGATTTATTTGTTGTCTGGTCCCTGCAATAAAACAAATCAACTTTGCAGTGGGAGTAGGTTACAGTCCTGTGTTTTACACTTTGGTGGTATAGGGCAACCCTCCTGTTTATATTTGTATCTTTAATGTCAGAGATTAATGTGGTTTCCGTGTCATGAATCAGATCTGAAATTCCATCAAAACATCCATCCACCGCCATTACAGCAGTGATAAACAACTCACCACCGGATAACAGTTGAAGTACAGTGCCATTTGTGATTTTACATGAAGTAATCGACAGATCTTGACACGATCCCCATTCGCTGTCAGGGTGTTTGGCGGATAATGGCTGCATTGTTTTTGGATTCGTCAGCTAAAGCCGCCACTTGTTCTATTTTTGAAAAACCTTTTATGCCGGTGTTAACCATGCATGGGAGTATTGATGTCACTGTCTGAGATGATTGGGTCACTGGTAATCAACCACAGGTTAATGCTGTGCGTCATACCTCCCCTCTTGATTTGCATTACGATACCCTGAATAAACCCCACGGGAAGACAACGCATGACTATATGGAATACAGTACTGTGATCACAGATATATAGGAATTTTGGACAAATGGAGTTTGTTTATGATGTAAAAACACTAACTGTAATGTATGCAACATATATATATATATATATATTTTCATTGATTAAAAGTGCTCTTGGATGTTTTTGTGGATGCATTTCAATAGGCTGTGTGGCCATTGACCATATTATTTACTTAGCTTTAAAGCCAACCAAATGCCACAAAACACCCATTGAATTGTTACCACACCAATGCATAGATTACTTGCAGTACAATGCATGTAACCAAGAGTTAAGTTGAGTTTTGTAAGGGGGAACCCTGCACAATGGAGGTTAACAGCCTCCATTATTGATCATGTTATGGGATCACAGTTAATGAACCTGACCATATTTATTGGGCTGTAAATGCTAAGGCTTCTAATTAACTAGAAGTACAAATACATACAGGCATGTTGTATATTTCAACTAAATTAATCATTTTGCTGAAGAATGCTGTCGAAATGAACATTCGTCACAATGCAATGCAAACTTTATTGTCCACCGTAGTGGAAATGTGTCTTTTACCTCACCTTTGCACAATGTAACATTAGTATGTTATGAGGGGGACAAAAAACATAGAAGGATCACTGATAACTAAATTCAGTTATGAGGTTTTATCAACTCATAACTCCCTGTGAACAACATCTAATCCCTCTTATATTTCACGCAGGAAAAGATAGCTTAGTTTATAGATAGCTTAGTCTGTAAAACACTAAATCGTCCCTGTTTTCATGATATTATCATACTTGTTTTCAGTGCTTATATAGACGCTTATCATCTTCTTTCCCACTAATTTTTACCTTGCCCAATATAAAAACGTGAAAAATGCAACACATGTCTGAATTCAACACTGTGTGTCAATCAATCAATGTGTCGTTGTCCGACAGAAACTCTCAGTACACTAACAGTTAGCTGTCACAGCAGAGAAGGTCAGTCTTATCTAGAGCTCCTTCCTTCATAAAGTACCTCTGCAACTGAAATGCTGTGTTCTGCACAAACTGCTAGAGTACATTTTTGGTACACACAGTGGAAATGCCGATATAAAAAAATCATACTAAGACGGCTAGAAAGCCGTATTCAATAGCTGTCACAGTCGACTTCTTAACGGGCAGCCTGCAATAGAGAGACAAATACCTTGTGTTTAGTCTTAAAAGGGATCTGACAATTAATAATGATGTTGTCTTCTGTGTTCACCAGTGTTATTATACAGTATTCAAATAAACAACTTTTTAGTGGATTTACATTTGTCATCTGAGAAGGTGCTGTCCGTGGTAAGGTGCACTTGTTACAGTAGTGTGCTAAGTGTTGTCTAATCTGTACAAAAACTGAAGTGTAGAAATCAAATTGCCGCTTTAATCTGTTGGACCATTTTTTGTCTCAGACTCGAGACTCAATAGCTGTTTCTCCACTACATTTAGTCCTTATCCCAGGCTGAGCTAACTGACCTCTGGTACCAGCTGCATATTTACTGTACAGACACGTTAGTGAAATCTTCTAACTCTCGGAAGCAAATAAGTGCATTTCTAAATGTGTTGAACTATTCCTTAAAAATATTGTGCTAAAAGATGACATTAGATTACATAAAAGCAGAGGTTGAATTTGTACCAAAACAAACAGACTGAACAAATGGATTCAGTAAATTCAACCAAATGCTAGTGTGTCTTTTAGAGCCTAAAAGGCATTCGGTGTATACGCTCTCTAAGGCCTCGATGTTACTAGGCAATGACTCAGACATGCCATGGTCTATGGGTCAACATTACATTTATGTATAGGGAGCATGGCATTCCTCCTCGGTTACCTGTGTCAACTCCCAGGACATGACTCTAGCTAATGTAGCTAATCTAATCTGATCTATTGGATGTCTTGCGGGCTTACTTACAGAGAAACATGATGAAGCAAGTCATGCATGCATTTGCCATATAATATGTAATGATGTGACTTAAAACGCATACAGATTAAAATATATATATTTTCACAATTTTATTATCAAAATCAACATTTATTTCATATGGCTTTACATCTGTTTTCTTTTATTTATTGTTATATTCACATCACGCCAGTGTGGAACAGCATTAACAGAGCCACGACATGCACAAAGTCAGAAAAGAAAGAACACAATATTGACTTTTGATGTTTTAAATTAAAGGCACTGTTTCTTAAAGTCGATCAAATAAAACAAGAAAACTCTGTTCGTAATCATCACCATCACCATCAATGTCACCGTTTAGTCACGTCATTCTCACAATCACTGTTACATGAGATGTGTGGGTACATCATCAGAGCGCTGGGACGTTCCTCCGTCGGCACTAGAGAGGCAGGAAGATGGGAGGCTGCAGTAGGTCCCTCTTGCCGTAGGTGTCAGATCCCACGTTGGTGGGTGCGTAGACTGTACCGATAGTGTTACTGGAGCGGACCAGGAAGTCTGCTAGCCTTTGGGTGACGCAGGTGGCTGTGTTGCATTTCCTTTTCTGTATGTGGTGGCTGGGATGGGGGGGGGGGTGAGAGAAAGTACAGAGAGAGAATGTTTTTCATGTAACGGGGATTTATTACAGCTGTTGGTTCCTGTAAATGCCGTTACCTGTTCATCGCTGTGAGCCCCCTCTGCGGTCGTGTACCCACGAGGCCGAGGAAAGGGTTGGAGATTAACCCGGGAGCTAACCAGCCGTCGCTGTCTGGGAGACCACTTTCCCGCTCGCTGGATGAGCTGGGAGTGAAGTACCTGAGTCAGAAATGGAAAAGGTCCAAATCGTTTCACACTGATAGCTGATTATAGCCTCTTCAAAATGTCCACTAGTCCCGAGAGCAAGAAGACAAAGTGGGCACTTAGCTCCACATGAGTTGCACAACGAAGGCACTTTCCCCCACACAAAAGCACAATTGGCTTCTACCTCCAGAGTTATCAGTGCCCTGCTGATCCTCACGCAGGACATTACAGTCCCACTTGTCGCACAATTTCCCTGATATTCAGCTGCTTGTCTGCTGACCTCCGGTCCGATACGATCCACATGTCAGCAAAGTGAAACCTGCACAGCTGAATTGCTTGCCACTGTTGAAACTGTGACCCTAATATTAGACCCCTATATTGTTTTTTTTTTTTTTTTTACAAGTCGCTGCACAGCCACACCAACGAGCTCAGTGCTCTGCTTGTAGCGTGAACACTTACCTGTAGCTTGGGGCAGCGGTGACGCAGCGCAGCAACACAAGCAGGGTGAGGAGAAGCACAGGCACCCTTAGGTGATACATAGTGTAGGGCGATTACCTGGATCATCAAAGATACAACAATGTGTGATTTATTGTTACGGAGGGATAGGGCAATCCAGAATGCGAAATTTGTTGTAATCAACCTTTATTCAACTACGAAGACCTGGTCAAAGGACAGCACAGACATATACCAGTTTATATAATCAGCACATCAGGTCAGAATTTAACATGCTTGAAATTGTGTCATTTCTATGTAAATTCTGAATTAGAGTCACCATTATGAGACAAAAACAAGAAAATTATGGTTTTTTTTATAATTCTATACAATCCATAATTCACATACAGTCCAATTTAAAGCTGTGCTCAATGCTTCAGTAACAATATTATACCGGCACCTACCAAGCACTACAGTTCAACACTGATGTTATGAATATTCTTTTTTCCTGTTGTGTAGTAAATAGGTTTGCATCTAGCAACTAACAATATAACCGCACAATTTTGTATTTAATGAGTTGACTAATATTATATATGTAGCAGAAAATATAAAAGAAACTTCACAATTTGTCAAAAGTCACGGTGATGTCTTAAAAATCCTTGTTTTGTCTGACCTGCAGTCCGAAACCCAAAGATATTAAAGTAGTATCACACAAGAAAAAGAAAAGCAAATTGCAAATCCGCATTAACCAGATAATATTTAGGATTTTTGCTTGAAAATTGACGATGACTTTGATTATCAAAGTTGTTGCTGTTTTTTTTCTGTCAATTGAAACTGTCAGTTTCAGCTCTACATACATTTTTTCATTTGATATATATACATATATATTCATATATATATATATATATATATATATATATATATATTGTATGTGCACAGGGTGTAACGCTTTCAAAGCTTCTGTACATCATATTTCTGAGTAAAACACATATCTATATTTATATTTATGTAATGACTTTTGATACATCCTTACAGCAAAATAGAAAATCCAATTTCTTTCCTGAATCATTTTATGCACAATTCCCTTTAATGCAACTAGACATATTTGTTTCCTTAACACCAAATCATTTGAATTATGAATTAAAAATATACACTTGCTCTGTTTATTTGACAGAAAGGATTTTTTAAAAATCTGAAAGAAGAAGAGATTTAGCAAAATGTCCTATTCAAACCAACAAGAAAACTACATTTCCTGTAGCATCCCATTCGTATATATACACACAAGAATTAAACTCAGCCACAGGTCCTGTAAAAAAGGCAAACTAAGCCCCTTCAGTAAGAAAGTCAGAGTACTTACTTTCTGTTGTGTCAGCCAGCAGCCAGCAGATCCCAGTCTGTCACTGGAGCACTCCAGGGTTTGTCAGACTGTCACACAAACCGACTCCAACAGTTATAGGCTCATCGCTCAAACCACTTGTGACATCATCTCTGTACAAATATAGCCTTGCATTTTCATTTACACAGAATGGGGAGGACGAGGGTGGTGGTGGGGGGGGGGGATGCACATGGGGGTGTCGAGATCCAAAAGGGTTCTTACATACGCCATACGCACACTCAGCTGTACTCAGTGTACACTCTTAAACCTGTGCACACACAGAAAAATGCTAATTTTCACAGCACACACACGCACACACAAACACACACATCTCCGTACGTCACCGTCCTCATCATCACCCTCGTCATCATCGCCATCAACCTCCGTGATGGGACTGACCCGCCATAAACCCTCACCAGGGACAGCAAAGTTGTCTTCCCAATAATCCTGAGACAATGTTAATGAAGTTTTAGGTCACCAAACTCTGGCCCTGCCTCTGCCTCCCTACGGGCTCCATCGACGATGAATTATGAATGTGAAGATGAATTATCGTTAATAATGAATGGCGGCTCATTACTTTGACGGGACACTTCACAAACAACTGAGGAAGTGCTAATTAATGAAGCGATGCTAAAACCTGTGAGTAGCACTTGACGCACGTGACCTGGAAATCTGACTACAGCAATTAAATCAGCAATCACCTGCCTTTGCATTAGTTTCCTGCAAACTTAGTGTATTTCGGATGTGTAAATAGATAACTGTCTGCTAACCAGTTAGCCATATCAACTTAAAAGGCGATGTCAGTGTTTGTGTTTACAGCTTGTCTGCGCTGGCACCCAATGTGGTCAAATAATTACAGGTGAAATATTTGATATAAAAAAATATTTATGACTAACGTCCGCCTTACAACAGATGACTTTTCACTGTCGTAGACAAATTTCCAATGTATAAATATATATATAATTCATAAAATCATGAGATTTTTCTTGTCTTGACATTCCATTAAAGTCAAAACATGTTTAATATTGTCTGACTGCGTATGGCGCAAGAGGAGAAGATGGAACCCTGCACCATCGGCAGAAGAGCCAGTCAATGCGATTACTCTGAGCAGCATGCATGGGACAGTTAATCTATTTGAATATATTTATCGCTCTTTCCCTGATGGTCTGAATAAGGCAGTACATTTGTTGAACAAGTCTCGGTTCTCTAGGATTGTGGAAAAGGAGGAGAAGCTTGTGTCATGAACAAGAGTGCCTCTTTGACGTGTCACTGCACACACATAGGGCAGCTGTGGTCACAAGCTTCTGTCTTTGCTCCATCGAGTTTTCCTTCTTGTAAAGTTCCACCATGATTGGTGATTGGACGTCAACTTTTCCCATTTAAGCCACGCTTAGCCACCCCTCTAATGGCACAAATGGTTTACAAAGCCTTCAAATCTCACTTTCTATTAGATCTTTAGTCATCCGCTACATGGGAGCTGATGTGCTTTCAACTGAAACAAGGCTTTGTTTGGATAATCTTTCTACTGGAGCAGTCATAAAAATGCAATTATCAGAGAATGCAAGAACATTACATTTAAAATGACTACCATGACCATGTTTCTGACGTTCATCCCACAGCCTCAGTGAGAAGATGCCACCACAGGCTGCAGGCTGCTGGTAAGTGCTGGGGCTTTTCACCGCACCATGGAGAGAGATATAGTGCAGTCCTAATGGACATTTAACACCCCCCAAAACCCACTGTGGTCTAAGGAACACCTCCTTGTGTTTCCTGTAAGCTTCTCAAGAAAACCTGCAGTCACTACAGACACAGAGAGAGTGACAGGATGTTTTTCAGATTTCTCTACTTTGGCATGGATTATATTGTTTTGCATGTACAGTATAAGCTAACTTGAATTACTCAACTCATATTTCTTATTTCCACGCTGATTTCCGCAGCACATATTTCAATGTGACTACTTCAAGATGATGGGAATAGTAATAATAGGCTGTGTACTGTACACCTGATTTTTGTTAATGCAATAACACTCTGTGTTATTGGCAAACGTTGGCTGATTAAATAATAATACTGATTTGATTTAATATATAAATAACCTATTAAATATTTAACTTCTCTTGTGGATATGAGCAAGGTGTTTAGAAAGGTTAATGTGCACAATCTTCAAAGAAAGGACGGGTGGCAGGAAAGACAGAAGAAAGTGGGTGTTATGTCGGATTTTAAGTCTATTTTTGTATGCAGTCTGGGGAAACATGCCTTTTGTATCGTTCTGTTTTCTTGTTCCTTGGATCACTTTGGTATTCCGAGGAGCAAGATGTTACACGGGCGGCGTCTCAGTTTCCTGCTCCTGTCACAGAGAGAAAGCCACTATTAACTCAACTAACCCTGAGTTTACAGAAAGCTGAGGGATCTTTTAAGGTATCACACATTATTCTGTGTCAATTCTTATCTCCTCTATGGAGCACCTTTGTTTCCATTTTTACATTCAATGCAAAGATTCCGGCTTGGAAGCTCCAACGCACTCTCTCGGTACGGCTTTATTAGTATTCCTCCAGCGATGGACATGAGAGGAGGTCAGGAGTCACCGGGGAATGATTAGTAGATAAATAGCCAGTGACAGTAAAGGTAATGGTGCACTGGCCTCTGAGAAAGACAGTTCATGTTCATTATTGTTGACTGGGGACGTGTGTGTCCACTATGTTAATGACAGATACTCGTGTGTATCTACAAACTCCAACTCACGGTCAGAGATCTGGTGGAATAACAGCCTAAATGTTTAGCAAAGAGAGAAGACCTCATACACATGTAACCAGTGAGTGTGAGAAGGTGTGTGTGTGTGTGTGTGTGTGTGTGTGTCTCTTTCTGGCCCATGATGCATATACAGAATCAAATATAGAGTTAACGTCACCGACACCTGTAAACAAATGAATGACTCCTTCGTCAGAAATGTTAGTGGTTTAGTCTGATTAATGTTGCTCGTACTTTTCCTCTCGCCTAATCACACCACTGATGTCTCCTCCTATTGATATACTAATAACATGTTTTTGATCAGTATGCGGTTCATACATACAGTTAGGCCTCTGGTGAGTTTCCTATTCATGATTGTTCAACAGTAGTGGTTGAAAGAAAGCATTCAAAGATAGAGAAATGAAAGTGATATTCAATTTTGTAAAAATGTTACTGCAACTGATTTAAGACATGACCAGATGAACGAATCCTAACTCTTACCCAAACTCAAAGCTGCTACAACACACAGAATTAGCACCTAATTCTGCAGTTCACCTATGATCTACAGAGCTTTATAGCATCTTGGAAGTAATTGTTTTGGTTATACAGCCTGCAATTTCATTTTGTGATTCACTCTCAGGGCTCTCATCGGCATCATTTCCATATGCAGAGGGCATTATGGGGGAAAAGAAGTTCTAATACACCAACTGTTAGTGACTAGCTGGTGAACATAGCGGGTCATTTATCAGCTAAATTAGCAGATATTGCCCTCAGGAGTTGTTGGGGAGCCAAACCAGAGTCATTACATTTACCAGGTGGCCAAAAACACGACTCCAAATGAAAACTAATGCTGCCCTTCAACTTTATAAGGTAAATATGTCAGTACTTTATTTACAGCTTGTTGCGTTGCCCCCAAGTGGCCAAAAAAATCAATGACTGCACGTTTAATTAACAATGACATAATTTTTAAAATCAATTTGCACGTTTAGCACATCAGCCACTTCACATCATTTTCACAATATTTGTGTCCACAGCATGACATCGTGTTAACATAAAGTTCTTAAGACTGCGCATAGATCAGATCTGCAAAATGTTATGTGACAATAATATCACACATTCAAGGATGTATCTGTTGACATAAAGAATAAACACATTCATTTTGGCCCAAAGGTATACGCCATAATGTTTTTCATCCCGGGCCTTGCATGGCTGCTGTATACATCATGTGCATACACGAGTCAATATTTTGTACTGCTGGTCAATTTTTATAAGTACTGCACTATGTTTCTACAGCTTTGACACTGGTAGCCCATTTCATCTTTAGGACTAAGTGTAATACAACAGCTCTACACTGTAATAAAAGAGGAAGAAATACGGTTAGCATTAGCCCAGGTGAAAAGACATTTCCTCTTGACAATCCAAGTACATGTGACTGTTGGCCAAAATCAGTTACATTCCTTGAATAGACCCAGGTGGCCTTGTTTGAAAGCACATTGGTGGACAACTTAGTTTTGTTTGTCGTCAGTTTCTTTGCTGTGTGTTGTTTCTTTCGCTAATACTTCATCATCTGTGAGATCGTCCTCTTCTTCCACCTGTGCATCCGTCTCCTCGCAAACCTCGTCTTTTCCCTCTTTCACCTCGTCCTCTGACTTCAGCACGTCTATCGCTATCTTTGCTTCGTCACATGGAGGAGGAGTGAACTCAACAGTGGTCTCTGTCAGGGATTTGAGCTGTTGCGTCTCCTGGGTGTTATTTGAGGAGCTCAGTCTGCCGTCTTGGGGGAGCTGCTCTGTTCTGTGAACCTCCCCTCCCTCCTCCAGTTCTGCTGCGATCCTTACCCAAACTTTGGGAGCATGACGCGGTTTGGGAGCTTTAGGGGGGCCGGGATGGTCCTCAGTGGGTTTTGATGTGATTTGAAGGTCAATTCCCTTTGAAGCTTTTCTATTCTGCGTTTGTGTTTCTCGCTCTGGCTTACGAAACTGTCGTCTGAGGACGATGATGACGGCAATGATGAAGAAATACGAGGAACCACTGAGACAAGTGATCAGACCCAGGAAGATGATCCTGAAAGTAGAAACAAAAGATGGACGGAGGGCAATCAAGGGAAGAAATCCTTATTGCTATGGTGTCTAAAGCGGTGTCTTTTAGCAAATTTATATTTACACATTTGCAGTCCAAGGCGTACCTGTACATATTAGAGTCATATATGCGACATGCCCCCCTGCCCCCACACTTCTTGATTGACCACTTCAGGCAAGTTGAATCAATCAGGGCTCCGAAATACACTGGTGCAGGAAGTCCACCTACAGACAAGGTATCAAATATCAAATATGTGCTGTTGTATTGTGTCCGTCAATCATATTTTGGGACCTATCAGAAACTATGCCGATTGGAAGATGGTTAAGCAAAACAAGTCCATATCAAAAGAATAATAATTGTACTCAAAACTGACAGTATGAAGCTTACCAAGAGTCCTAGTTACTAAGGCCTGGATACCCAATGCAAGGGATTTGAGATCTGGTGAGATGCATCTGTAATTACAAATCAACACAGGGTTATTTGTATAGATCTTTTTTGTAGAAAGTTGCTTCCACAGGCAGTGTCTTTAAATAAATTGTTTTGCTGAGAGTTCGATGAGAAGATAGACCACTTTCATGCCGGTACGGTAAATATGAAGCAACTGCAAGCAGCTTAGCTTAGCACAAATACTTGCAACATCTAGCCTGGCTCCAAACATGTTTCCACTCTTTGTGCTAAGCTAAGCTAACCTTCTGTTGGCTGGAGCTTCATATTTATTGCACATGACATGAGAGTGATGGCAATGTTCTCATCTAAACCTGGGGCAAGAACACGAATAAGCATATTCAAAAATGTTAACCTTATGAAAACGTTTTTTACTCAACGCTCGCTTGGACTCAGATAATAAGATTGATAAATAGCACAAATATTCCCAGTTATCATAAGTCCGTTCTCGGGTGCACAGACCGTATGATAACCATGTAGCCAGGTGTAGCTCCAAGAGAGTTGATGAAGGAGCTGAGAACAGATACAGCCATGTAGGAGGTGAAACTGCGGCTGCAGTCCTTGGCATGAGGACACTGGCCCAGCCTCACGGACGTGCTGCTGCCTGCTGGGAAGGAGGCGGACAAACAGCTGCAGTTGTGGAAGACCTGGCAAAGAGAGAGAAGCTACAATGTAGCAGGAGGACGGACTGGAAATTAAGTGAAACGCCACATATTTATCATTTGGAAAACTTTGGAATAAAGTAGCAGTTGAATGACTTTTTGGATAAACAGGTCGAAAAAAAAATACAGTGAATCAAGATTTGTGGGACCTTATTATTTTAGGTAAACTCTCTAGCGAAAGACTGTAACTGTATATATTTAAGGATTTGTATAAAAGTAACTGTATTGTTGTATTTAATTTAGATTTCTAATCCAAATATTTGTTTTGTTTGTTCCTTTGGAATGAGGGTTTGAGGGTTACATTGTATTTCTGATGAACATGTCTAATCTAACCTCTGAAAGGCTTTTAAGGGTGATCATTTGGAAATTCTTAAAAGGAATTCCTAAAGAGTTCCTATATCTGTCGACACGGTATGTTTGTGCATTCACGTGTGCAGTCCTACTGTGTTCTTGCCGTATCCACTGGAGCTGAGGCAGCCAGCCATACATGGAGAGATGTAGGTGATGCCGCTGTCTGAGCACACAGGGTCCCACTCCTCTGCTGAACACGAGCAGTCTCTGTTACACTCTGAGAAGAGCATATCTCTGTCGGATGATATACTCTGCATCCTGCAGGGCAAAGAGGGTTTATATTTTATATAAGCTGCAAGTTGTTGTATTTTTAAGGCTGTAAAAAGAGTTCATCTTATACGTTATTTTGGTTTGCTAAAGCTGCGGTCATCTTCATAATACCCTCAGCACTGACCCGTTGTATGAGATGGTGAGCCCAGCCATGGGAATGTTATCACACTTGGTTCCAAACTGCAGCAGCAGAAGGAGGTATGCCATGAAGGATGTGGCAAAAGAGAGCTGAGCTCCTGACACCAAGCTCAGTTTATACCTCTTCATCAGCAGCCCTCCCAGGAAGATCCCCACCGCCACGGCTGGCAGGTTCAACACACCTAAGAAAAACACCAGAGGCTCTGGACACTGGGAGGCTCTTTTTACGGGAAGTCTCTCACTATCAGACACCCTATGATATTTTGTTTTACAATGACTTTTTAATCTTTGAGCAGAAGGGCTCAGTGTACTGTTGGAACCCTTTGATCTTCATCTGATACTGTCAAATCATAGAGCAATGATTATTTTGTAACTCTCTTTCAGAATGCAAAAAGCTACAGTTTGAATGAACTGTCAAACTTCATTTCACCCATGAATGTTTTGAAAAAGAATAATAAAAATGGGAGAAATACACTTATTTGCTTTCTTGCTGACAGCTGCATGAGAAGAATGTTACAACTCTCATGTCTGTACGATTAATAAGAAGCTACAGCATATAGACAGTTAGCTTCGATTAGCATAAAGACCGGAAGCAGCAAGCCTGGCTTTGTCCAAAGGCAAATAAAAATGCCGAACAGCACCCCTGAAGCTCACTGGTTAACACACCTGTTTGAGTAAAAAATGTAATGTAAAAAAAGACCAGCTAGCTGACTCTGTTTCCAGTCTTTATGCTGATTGGTTCCTGGCTCAAGCTCCACGTTTAGTGTAGAGACATGACACTGATGTCACGTTAACTCTCAGCAAAAAAGACACTAATCAAATCTTCCAAAGTGTCGAAAACTTGAATTCATAACCAATAAAATGTCTGTTTGCTTAATTCCTTATCCACTTCTGCTACTGTTATACTACCTTTGAGTATTTACCATTATCCCATAAATCACATTTATTTTTTTTACCTATGAGGAAGTTTGCTCTGGATGCAGATTGTCCAAACTGTTGTTCCATGTATTTGGCTTTAAAGGTGAACAGGCCGATGAAAGAGTTGAACTTCAGAATGCTCCCACAAAGGAGCAGGAAGTAGGCAGGAGTTCCAAACAGGCGCTTCAGTGAGGGAAGAAACCCTGTGGAAGGACTTCCAGTAAAAATACACTGCCAGCAATGCCCATAAACCTGCACACATGCTGTAATTTATTAAAATATCAACTATGTACTAAATATGTCAATTTAACTAGAAATGCAATGCAGTGTCATAGATGTTCTGTTATGGGAGGAGGAAGAGGATCAACCTTTAGCGATGTCAGTCAGCTTGAGGTTGTGATTGTTGTTGGGAACGTCCTCTGTCCCATCTAGGGTGCCATGGGCGGGAGTTGCCTTTCCCTCGTCTCCCTCCTGCTTTGGCAGCGAGCGGGGCAGGAACCAGAAGGGAATGCTGGAGATGAGGAGGAGGACGGAGGACACCATGAAGCCCATCCACCAGGCGCCCACCCAGCGGGCATCTTTAGGAGTGATGGTCACACTTTCTTGATGCCGGAAAAAGAGCATTCGAGTGAGTGCACACAAGGAGCAGGAAACTTGATGGGTGTTTCATTTGTCATATTGATTTGGAATTTTAACCTGTCACTTCCTATGTGTAACGTGACCAAAGTGGACACCAGATCTGAATTTGTAAATGGATGGGACACTCTTTCAGCGACACTGCACACTTAGGTGGACTGACTGAGTTGTGGTTGATGAATAAATTATCGATTCAACTTTTTCTATGGGTGAGAGTCGAGACAATTCCTCTCAGGGACACTCAGAAGAGACCTCACTAACCTGTTCTGACCAGTCTAATGCTGTTGTAGCGTGACAGACTTTTGCACCATGAACAGCAGGCTGATCAGAATCAGTCTGAACCAGAGCTCAAGCCAGAGTCAACATGTCTCTTCTGTCAAAAACATGATATTTTAGCATAAAAGCGCTTATAGGTTTAACTCCGTCGGCCTGTCTACACAGAGGGCGTTTCAGTTTTCGTGCTCACTTTCAGAGTGAAGACTAACATGATAGGTCTTGCACAACAAACGCATTACACTTACCGATATCAACATATCCAATGTCAACATATAGTTTGGCACAATAGGAGCCCAGAAGGAAACCAAACATGGGGCCCAGGAGAGTGATGGTCTGGAGACAGGCTGCAAATCACAAACAAATCAGTAGATTGACATTTTGTTCGATGTGGTGGAAAAAAGGAATTTTAAGAGAACTCCATTGGGAATAGATATGGTAAGAGTTAAGAAGACCAGGATAAACTAGACAAATATCTTCATTCTATGGGTACGTTTTAAGAAATGAGTCAGTTCCAGGCGCCAACCTCCAGGTGTGAAAGTAAAGCCAAAGTGAAACCTGGATTCTTTCTTATGGCCATCAGGGGGCCACTCCTCTGGTTGCAAATAGAAGTTTGATTGTATGGAAGTCTATGGGAAAATGACCCTACTTCTCTCTTGATTTATAACCTCAGTAAACATTGTAAACATGAGTTCATGGTCTCAGTTAGTCTCAAGTCTTCGTCGATACAGCATGATGTTTTTTTCGTAAATGATGGTCCCATTTAGAGTAAAATAGACAATAAAGCAGAGTATGCTTTAGGGCGTGGCTACCTTGTGATTGACAGGTCACTTCCACCATTTTGTCCGGTCTAGGAGTTGTCTGTGTTTTCGTCTTACAACTTTAACCCTCTCACAGTGTGTTTTCAGTTCATAAAAGTCAAGTTTAACATTAACATTAACAAAATGTCTTATTCAGGATTCGGTGGTACTTAGCTCCACTCTCTTGTGTCACTTTTGATTGCAAAAAATTTAAATCACGATTGGCAAAAACCAAGATGGGGATGGCCAAAATGAAGAATGGGAGGGTTCAAAAACATAGTCCACAAACCAATGGCTGATGTCACAGCAACTGCGTCCGCTTCTTAGAGAGAGTCTATGGTCTGTGAACACAATTTATGACATTTGAACCCTTTAAAATGAGCAAAGATATCTTACCTATATAGAAGGGTGAATTTTCCGCTCTAGCAAAGTCATCGATGTAAGAAATGCCCAGAGGTGTGACCGGGGTCTCTCCGATCCCTCGCAGAGCGTTCCCCAGGAACACATAGATCCACATGTGGGAACTAGAGTCTCTCACACAGGCTCCATGAAGACACACACAATAGCAAAGCATGATATTGATTTTATTGCTCTGATAAACAAACGATTTTCGAGGAAGCTGCTTTATGCTATCTCTGATGTATTGTTAAACATTATAATGATATTTTTAAATCTTTAAAATCATGTTCAAACCTCCACATGTACGTGGGTGCCTGTGTGTGTTTGTGTGTGTGTGTGTGTATGTGTGTGTGTGTCAGCACCGTTCCCAGATTCTATTGATAATTTTGTTTCTACAAGAAGACTTTGGTGCATGTGTATCAAAAGCCCCTTCCCATTCACAAGTAAATGAGAAAGAGAAAATAAAGTCTGTATGAATACAATGTGGTGATGATTCAATATCAATGTAATAAGATGCGGCATGGAGCTTGCATACTGCATTGTGTGTGACTTTCACATTGTGTTTCCTTCGAAAAACATCTCATCAGAGTGGCTGAACAGGATCAATACACTGCATTTTGTGGGCATATGACATTGTGAGAGAAGGAGAATAATTAATTATGGTTCCACAACAGAAAGACTGACAAATACATAAGCAGATACAGTATGTGACCAAGCTGAATGTATTAGCATTAATAAGATATCTGCCTTGTCAGTGATGCTATAAGACCTGATTTTTCTGCCTCTTTTCTCTTTCTCTTTCCGGCTTTCAGCTCTTGTTGGCTTGCTCTGCAGTCCAGATACAGAGTGATCATTGGCGCAGCACGACTTCAGCCGCTATGTGTAGTATGTAGACAGCATGGGAGTTGAGTGGCTTTGCAGGTCACACCAGGATCAGTGCATTCCAGGGGTGGTTGAAAGAAAGCCAGGGCTTTTGAACCAGGTTTCATGTCAACAGTGTTCATACAGGTTCTTTGTGTATGCTACGAGTGTGGTTTCTTGTTCACTGACCATAGAGAAGGCATCACCTTTATTTAGTTTTTTGTTTCGTTTTTGTTCAAGTAGTGTACATTTTATAGTTACGTTTGTAATTCTTGGGCTATATGTCTTCTCCGGTTCAAGATATAAGCCCAGATATGTGACTTTATATTGATGTAACAAGAATATTGAGCCACGCTAGCAGCATTTCAGTCAAAACTATAAATGTCAACCTTATGGTGGTAAAAGAAAAAAAAAAGTCAGGGGATCACCAAAGTCAGTAGGATCCATCCTCTGGGAACCATGAATGGCTACACAAAAGTGTTACTGCTAATCTACGTAGCAGACGTTGAGATATTTCAGTATGGACTAGGGCTGGCCAAATTGTAGTGCTTGTGGGCCATATACAGAAATTTGCAAGAAGCCACGGACCAAAAAAAACAGATTTCTGTGAAAAAGCACTAATTCTTTCAAAATGTATCAGCAGTCAATCGCTAACTTTCATCTTTTTGGTTCCGCCATATTTACCTAATCAACTGATGTAAACGTTTTCATCAACTAATTAATTAATTAACTAGTAAGGTCGAGTATTTGTTCATAATGGCAACAGCATCTCGTGTTCCAACAAAGGAGTGCACTTTATTAGAAATATGCGTAAGCCATATTCAAGTTTATTTTTAAAACATCACCACGGGCCATTTAAAAACAGGCAGCGGGTCGCTGTTTGGCCACCCATGGACCTACCAACAGATCAAGAAAATAATCCAGAGAGCTACGCTGCTAGCATGGCTGATAATGAAATGAGACGGTGTTCACTCACACCTCAGGGTACCTGTAAACCCATTTGCCCCCTGAGTTTAGCCCACAGTCTTACCTTTATTGTCTTCCATGGAGGGCTCGATCCAAATTTCAGGTACTTCTGTTGTCAGTGGATCCACACAGGCGGCGATGTTCACACTGTCATTCTGGGTATACCGAATGATTGTGTTGTACTTGTAGCTGTGAAAAGCACAATGAGACATTGAACCAAATCATTTGGAGCTCTTCTAAAAGTTGGACACTTGTTGGGCATTTACCGTCCCATGAAGAAGTGGGTCAGGCCGGTGAGAAAGGCCCCGACAGCCATGAGGAAACAGCCCACAGCAATGAGTCTGGGCCGATGTAGCTTGGCCCCAAAATGGCTGACCACAGCAAGAAACAACAAGTTGCCTACCTCCAAGAAAGGGAAACCAAGAGAGCAGAGGAAAAATATATTGAGACATTTGGAAAATCATCAGCTCAGTCAAACAGAAGAAGTTGAAGTAAGACCTGATCAGATGCACAACAGATCAAAATCAGATCAAAAGATAGATGGTACCCATCTCAAAACTGCCATCGATGAGTCCAACGTGCGTGCTGGAGAGGTCGAATCGTCTCTCAATCTGAGTGATGGAGCTCTTCATGTGGGTTCCTGTCAGAGCCTTTGAGAAGCAGGCGAAGGACAGCGCCATAATAAACAACTAGAAAACAACAAGGGAAAATGTAAGTCTTCAGAAACCAAAACTGTATACTTTAAATGAAAGGTTTTCTGTAATAATCTGATAAACATCCACCATTTAATGCTTTATCTACTATGATTACATACAGGCAACAACGGCAACATGTTTAAAATGTCCTACGTTGTTCTATAAATACTGATCACAGCCACTTTTACAATAACCTTCAAACTAAAAAAGCTCAACTGTTTCTGCCTCCTCCATTGCAGCCTCCACAGCCTTTGGTTTTAACTCTCTGTGTGTGGGCACCCTGGAGTCCCTTTATTTCTGAATTAATTCCCATCTGTCATAACTGCAATTCTCTTACATGTTCTGCTAGCATTTCATGTATTAGGCTGTTGTTTTTAATGCTCTAAATTCTCTTGAAAATCTTAATTAGAGCTCAAAAAACACTGTGTGTTTTCTGTAGATTTTATTTTATTATAAGGGTTTATTTGGTGATAATTCGGAACATTTGCTTTTAAAGCTAATATCTACAGACAGAGCTAAGGAACCATGAGAAAAAAAATGGGGAAAGTCTTGGACAAGATAGTAGAATAGTTATGTGTTTTGGGAAAATTGTTCCATTACCTTTGCACATGCTGATGTTGTGCTGCAATCAGGCAAGGCTGAGCTCTGGACTGATACTGAAGTGTTTGACAATAGTTGATATGCTGATGTAGAGTAGAAATGTCAAAGCCACGATTTTTGAAAACAACATATAAGCAGCTCTTGATTTGATTCTACCTACTTTGGGGGAACGCTGATGTTCAATTGACCAAGAACTGATGTATTGCTGATGTGCGTCTCACAATTTAAGCATTTATCCATCCATCCATTATCTATGCACTCTTATTGAAGTTTGATCCCTTGCTGTGAAGGGGCAGTTCTAACACCGGCTGCCTTTTTCGGCTTTTTAACTGAATTTCTTAATCTACTGCATCAACAACATGAACTTCAGCCCGCAAGGAAGAACAGAGTTAAAAGTAACCAGCCGAGGAGTGTGATTACATATTTAGTACTTTGAGAGTGGAGATGCCTGGGCGTTTTCTGGTCTCCCGGTCGGGGACACACAGAGCCTGCTGGCTGGTCATCTTGTCCCCGTCCTCTGCTGCTTCCTCCATCCCACACTCAACCCTTGTGTGCCGGTTAATCTGCCTGCCCTCAGTCCACTGCAAGAAAAGCAGCCGTACACTGTGGATAGACAATAACAGAAGGAAGGTCAGGCTAAAGAAAAGGACAACATGTTTTGACTGAATGGGAAAGTAACCATTTCTTTCTGAGTAAATATGTAGCTGGAGCTAGGGAGCCTGTTAGCCTAGCTTAGCATAAAGACTGGAAATAGGGGGAAATAGAAAGCCTGGTTCTCTCCAAAGGTAATGTTGTGGCAATTTATCATGTTCTGTTGGATATAACTTCTATCGCAGACAAGGCCATCCGAACTCATTCAATGTAACAACCAGTACTCCAACCTTAAGAGCATACAGGTCAGCGCCCAGACGGTGTCTCAGCCGTCCAGGAGGAGAGCCAGAAACCATGAATCAGATGACTACGATGCAACTATACATATTCCAACCCATGCTAGACCAGAACCTATGCCAGCATTGCCATTTAGGTTCAAACCGGCCTATACAGTGTTCAGAGAGTTGCACGCTAATACACGTAAGAGACAACTTCACACCATGTGGAAATGGGAAGCTAGCAGCTGACGTTGAGGTCAGAATGAGCCGACTGTGGAATCCAAATCATGTCTATGATGTACATGTAGAAATAAAAACATTGGCACTTCCTGTGTGGTGTTCAATGTGGACTCTTGTATGGATCTCAAAAGAAACACGACTACTTAGATTGGTATCCTGAATATCAATTGTGCAACACATGTACAGAAGTTACGATTTACACATCGCAGAATGAGCCTCCCACTAATTATCAAGCAGATCAATTGGAAGAGTATGAATGTTTTGCCAGTGGTGGATTTGATATGGATGGGAAAAGGGTTAATGTAGGTAATACTACCGTTTACTGTAAAGTAACCTGGGTGGTGTCCTGGTTCCCACAGGCTAATATTACTCCTTCGCTCATTAGGAGACTGATATGGTATGAAAACCCAATACCACTAGACCAAAGTTGTGAAAACATAACTATGACCATTCCCACTCTCCATTTGTTAAGTGAACAAACAACAGCCATAGCCGACAGGTATTATACTGAATATTCTGCATTAGCGCATTAACAGTATTAATTGTAGCTTTTCTATTGGCATGTTGCATCGTACCCATCCTGACTAGGCAGTGCCAGAGGAGTATGTTCAAACAGATGGGTGTCATGACAACTGTCCAACTGGCTCAGATGATGAACATGATGACGATTGAGTGAGGGACAAAGGCCCAATTCGCTCAAATGGTGATCGGACGACCGGACCTGTTTCCCACTCCGGACTATCTGGAGGACTCAGATGACATGGCGGAAACAGGACTAGGAGGCATCTCAGCATAAAGACGGGAGCCTGAACTTTGTTAAAAGTACATACAGGTCCAAAATCACCACGTCACATGTTTTATTATCTTTCCAGGAGAATGTTGTGAACATTTGAGAAGAGACACACCAGAACAACATATATCAGGGTTGTTGTATAAAACTGAGAGTGTTTCACTGAATGTATTGTGTTAAAATATTTCTGCATTCACATACTGTATATTCAAAGTTCACAATTCATAGTCATGATTCATATAGTCAAGTGTTATAGCTAAAATACACATTCAGCTGAGTTTTATCATAGACGTTGCATCTAATAAGTACCGGTACATGGTTCAATATTTTTGCAGAAACTAAAATGTGTGATGTAACAGTGAATGCATGATTAGAAGTAAAAACAGGTTCACTTCATGCCAGAAAGGTGGTCGCTCGGCGGGGAAGGACCATAAGGGAATTTTTCCTGTAAAGCAACCTGCAGGTTTTTTCGCCCTTATATGAAAGTGAACCTTAGTATTGCGTGATGTTATCTGAATTGTCTTACTAACTCAAATGTTCTGTGTTGGTTTATAATCAAGCATATATAATTGATACAATTACTCGGTATCATTCCCAGATTCAGATAAAGGTTATATGAGGTCAGGGTGGGGGTCAAGGGACCCCCAGAGGGGGGAATATGTTGAAGAAAATCATCATATAACCTAGGATTGAACCGAACACATTTGGTTTTTATAAGAAACGTTTTCTATAACTTGTTATGATGAACTCAGCAAATTTGGTATGATGTTGAAGACAGCATATGTCTTCCTAGAAGTGTGGGAGGTTAGCATTCCTAAACTGATAAAGGCGCACCAGATAAATTGGAATTATAGATAAAACTCTTCCCATACATGAATCATTTGTTCTGCCAGGATGTTATCTTGACCCAGGCGATGACATGAGAGCATATACGTAATGAGGAGACCAGATGTGCTGTGTTTGTGGTTCAATCGAAGGATTTGATTGGCGGAAAGTGACATAAGGGGCTGACTTTAGACTATAAGAGTAAGCTGTAAGAACTAATACTTTGAATTTGTTATGAATTGCCATGGGGGTGCATTAAACAGTCCCGCTGGTTGCTACTCCAAGAACTACATCTTTTCTCTTCATTTCAGCCACAACATAATGGTGATGCTTTTGCCACAACAGTAAGCACCCCAAAAGCTTATTTTCTTCCTAGCCTTTATGCTAAGTTATGATAACTAGCTGCTAGCTGTATTTGCATGTTCATTTGTTAATACGAGAGTGGGTATTAATCCTGAATGTAATACTGTGTTCAATTATGACTGGGAAGGTAGAATTTTCAAGTTCCCAGTCTCAACTGAAGTCGGATTTCTTACTCTGAGAGTCGGACACACTCCACCAACCCTGACCTCAAAATCTAAGATGGCTGCTCCGCACATCAACAGTAAAAAGAAGCGGTAGTGATATGCTGTTTATTAGCAAATTAGAATATTTCCCAAAATGTCAAATGAGTCATGTCATATAACTCATGCATTTTGTATATTTAGATGCATTAATAGTACATGTCACATTAAATGGCATCAAACAAAACTTAATTTTCATAAAATATAATAGATTTTGACAAAACATTGGCAATTGTTTACTTACAGTAATGATTATCTTTACATAGTCAATCATAGTTTACCAATATTTTCATACATCAATAATCTACTGCATAATAATACAATATTGAATGGTTTGAAGGACCTCAGAGTCTCAGTGATTTGCTTAGAGCACAAAACATGTCTGGTTACCATTGCAATGTTTCGAAAAGGTACATTTTATCAATCAGGATCAACTTTTTAGGAGTATTATGGTACTGAAGTGCAAAGTCGTGGTGCAAAGCCAATCCTGACACTGCAGCCTCACATGTCTGAATTTGTAAAGTGCTCAAACTCGCCTTCACCTGCTAACCCCTGCACCCTACCCTCCACTACATGATGTTCTGTTTGTTTATTTTGTTTGCTCTTCTGTCTTTCTTTTGTTCTGTTTGTCTTATATTATTATTATTATTATTATTATTATTAGTTTGTAAAGTGGGAGAAAACAGAGCAACTGTACTGACCTGTGTAAACTCCACCGACAAGGCTTCTTCTCCTCACAATCCTCTCAGCTCAGTTAATGTCAGGAGCTGCAGGTTGAATCCATATCAGAGAGGAAAATGGTTTCCGCTCATTTGTCCTCCGGAAAAGTTGAGAGGGAGGACTGACATAAATCAACACAATCAACCAGTTAGAATATTTTCTCCGGTTTAGCCTGTTTAGTACTCCCACCCAAAGAGCAGCCTGACTTTAAGGTTTGATCCACTCTTGGCAAGCAAGCCCTGGTTTTATCAGAGGAATTAAAATGTTGCTATATTTAGAGAAAAAGGTGGCAACTACTGAGGAAATTCAATGAAATACCTAGTGCATCTCCAGGCTGAAGGGACGGGGGTCTCCTCTCTTCTTCTCCTTCTTCTTCTGCTCCTCTTTAAGCAGCCATGTGTCTCTTCTCCTACTGAGAGGAGGAAAACTTGCTCTCCCACGAGCTCCTATTCTCCTGTGTGAGGGCAGTGCAGTTACTTGGAACCGGGAGGACAAAAGGCCTCGCACATTTTCATTCCACACACATGCCAGCCAGTCCAGGAGGGGGACAGCAGCAAGAGGACAGGGGGTGGAGGTGGAGGGGAGACAGATTAGTAAATCCACACCAAGCCCTTTGGATTATTTTTTTCCTCACAAGGTATCAGACGCTTGTTGCTTCAAACAGGAATTTAAAAAGTGGTTTATAAAATGCAGGTGACATTTTTTCAAGTAATTGCCTTTCATATATCCACTGATAACACTTACGAATAATACATATAACATCACGGACACGTCAACCTAAAATCAACTACACTAAACTCATTCTTTAGAATTTCTGGATTACTTTGATAAAGTATATGCAACAGTGTGTCCCAGTATAAAGAGTGTGCCTCAGTGTAAACATGAGCGATGCTTTATTAGTCCAGTGACTGGTGGGGGGGGGTTCAGGCTGCCAGGCAGCAGGTCACTCAATTAGCTTTGGCCCCTCACAAATTCCAAAGATTAAGATTAAGAGCCTTTACATTCCAGCTCAGCAACAGCAAAGAAATGTGTTTGCCTCTTTCCCTTTCTGAAAAATTACACTTGGCTCTAGAATTTTGAGCACATCTCTTTTTTTCACTGTATCTAGTTTCAGGTGCATTCAGACAGGAATGCAGTTTGTTACTGCATCAGGGTGCCTCACATCATTATTCCAGATACAAATTAGTACTCAATACTTTCTAACATTGTTTCTTTAATTCTGCATTACACATTTCCAGACTGTCTGGCTTTAGTTTGGTACTGATGGAAGCAGTGGGACACCCTCAGTGGTGTTACAGGACCGTGCAGGAGGATATTTTGTTGTAAAGAGCGCAGCCTGCTGGTGAAACCAGACGCTGCACACAGGTTCATGAGCTACAACACATTAAGGAAAAACAAGATGCAGTGGATGAATAAGATTAAGGATTTTGAATGAATAAAGCTAAAATAGAAAAGTTGCCAACTTTTTAAATCTAGTAAAGCATTTTTGGAGTATTGATATACTAATAAAGGTATAATGATCATACAATATTGTAATCACTGGTCATAACAGTTACAATATAACAATACAATATATCATAGAACCTGGTGAAGGTTCAAAAGAAAACAACAACACACCGTTTAGCTGTAGAAAAAAACTTTAATCTTCTAAAATAGGTAGAACATTTGCTGAGCGACAAAGTAAACACAGAGCAGTCAAAGTTTGATAGACCAGCTTATTTAATAACAACCTTCAACCTACAGCAATTTAGACTGATATGTCGATGCACATGTGCTTTAAAAGGAAGTCCCTGATTCGAAAGGCTTGGAGAAATCATATGGGTGAAAAGTGCACAGGTTCCCCCGGGGGGACTGCCGGGCTCTGCAGCACATGTCTGTCCATATCCTGTCCCTGTGGTGTCATCGTTTACTTTTTCACTTTTGCAGGACTGCAAAAAGAGAGATGGTTCAAACTACCTTTGTTTTTTGTTTTTTTTAAGAGAAATTGTAGATGATCCCCAGTCTGTCAAGTTTGAAAGGGCTCTACTGGAGACTGCTGCCATTTATAAGATTAATGATGACCCTTGTGTTTTTGGTACCTTTTACTCAGCTCGTGCTCTTATCTATAGCTATTTTATTTTCTACCTTTGTTTCTTCTGGGGATGACATATTAAGGCATTGGGGTTTCTTTTTTTGTTCGCTACTTGTCCTTGGGGTTTAGCCACGCTACAGCACGACTAGATATTTGTTTGTGTTTTGGTACACGGCGTACTGCAGGGTTTGTGAGGACTTTACACTGAAAACAGCTGCCTGCTGTGGCCAAAACTACGCTACGAGAGCAGTGAGACTGAACCAAGACAGTAAAGCTGTGGGCCAGAAAGCCAAAACAACAGGCTGAAAGACACTCAAAAGACAGGTAACTGTGTAAATTGAGGGGCAACAAAAAAGTTAAACTGGAGAGACTTTTGTTGAATAAATGACAAAAAGTCTTTCAGCCTTAGCAGAGCATGTTAAAAAATAACATTAATTACGACTCAGGGTTAAAAAATATAATGCAGAAATTGTGATAAAACAACATATATGGAATATAAAAACACATCTACGTGAGGCTGATGATACATTTTCATTGACAACTACAATGTATAATTGTAATAAGTGTAAAACAAGCAAGTTTGAGTTACACCGACTTTTAGTCCCCTGTCTAAGCTATAGTGACCTTTCTCAGACAATAAACATTAGTGAGTCAGATGATTATATGAGCGTTCGTGAGCTGTAGGTGATGTGAAGTAACAAGAAGTGCGTGTAAAGTCAGAGAGATATCCAGGCATGTCAAATGTCGCTGTGCCCCTCTACTGCTAGTTTCTCTGCTATGATTTTGTCATTTAAAGCAACAGTTCCACACTTTGAAAAATACGTATATAGCTAGATGAAACGATTGATGCCATTCTCATGTCAGCTCCTTACATTTGAAGCTACAACCAGCAGCAAGGTAGCCTACCACAAAGACTGGGAACAGTGGGATGCGTCTGGCTCTGTCCGAAGACCAAAATCTGCTTATCACCTCGTCTAAAGCTTATTAAATAACACATAATATCCCATTTGTTTATTCCATAGTCTTTGCTGGTTGCAAGCGCATTTGCCAATGTGTTGAACTAAGTTATTCATATTTGACCTCAAAGCCAACAGGTTTGTTCAGAGCTGCAACTTACCCCCAAAAAATATTTTAGACCTGACAAAAATGGCATTGCGCTTGGGTCTCCACGTCCAACGGGTTTGCATTTGCATGTATACGGTGCTCGAAGACACAGACGTACTGTCAAGTATTATTGGTTTGGCCACTCTATTATCATAGACAACTCCTTCTTTTCTCAGACAGCCCGTGCTGCTTTCAATCACTGAATCAGCCTGCAGCAGTCACAGACAAACAGGGGGTACCGTCCATCTCATAATTTGGTATGGGGGCTTTTCTTGAAAAATGGCCCCCTATTGAGGAAGTCAAATCTGTTACAGTCCCAATTATAGCAGCTATAGTCAAATAAAACTACAGTATTTGCCTATCCCTTTAGGAATCCTGATCTGATTCACTGTTCTTGTAATAAATTTGGTTCATTTACTGGGTAAGTTGAAGCACTACACTTGCTAACTGTTAACTAAACTCTAACACACCCTGAATTTAGACACTGATGTAGGCTGTATAATCTCACAAATTCTCATTGAAAAACATGAAAGAAAACATTTTCAATCACTGAAATGGACAATACGTCATGTTACTAAGTGATGCTGAACACTGGTTGTCTGTTACGAGTATTTAAAACTATGCTGTCCATACTATATTATCCATTTACTGTATACATAAATCATTGTGAATGTTGAGTTGTGGAACTTGACTTTCATGACCTGACCTAATGCTATTCAAGTATAAATGATGGACACAAGCTCAAAAGCCAAACATTCTCCAAATATTTGGCATATTTTGTGCTCACTTCCTCTGACATCATACTGAAGTGTGTTCATACGTGAACGGCATGTATTCCCATTATCTTTTCCTGACTGTTTTGAAGTAGCGCTAAAAATGACCTTTTATGAGTTTATGCGTCTTTGTGCAGATGTGGATTGACGTGATTGTTGTTCATACTAAAACGAAACAAACTTTGACTTTTGAAGTGAACAAACTGCACGATATCTGTGTAAAGAAAAAGAAAACAGGTGTACTGTTTGAAGACCAAAGAGCGCTGACACTGTACCATTACCACATTTGGTCCACTATGGATGCAGCACAGTACTTTGGCAATCTAAAATCTGTGTCGTCCGTCTGCATTATACAATGGTGTTGCCGTCCTCAGACACCTTAAATAGTGCTCTCGTTGGCTTCGTCTTCTTTACTCCTGGCAATGTTGATTTTTGCGTGTCCATTTCTCACCGTGGCGCCCTCCACTCCATTTGCTTTGGTCTGATTCCTCAGTGCTAACTTCTTCTGTCTCTTGACAAGTTTGATATAGAGGCCTCCCCAGAGCACGTTGGCGAGGCAGTAGAGTCCCGTAATCAACCCCATGAATGTCATTCTGAAATTAAAATGTACATTGAAACAGGTTAAGTTATTACGTCTTTTTACCTTATTTAAATGCTTTTATTTGGAAGTTCTTGCCGCAATTCTACCAATTGAAAATGTTGTAAACGTGTTGAAATTAAGTGGAAAACTTTAGAAAAGGAAAAAAAATTGTATGGACCAAGTAGTAGAGGTGAAATGCTGAAGCAGTTGATAACATTGCACCTTTAAAGTAACCATTGTCAAATGACTCTATTAATTGCAGTGGTACAGTTGGTGCGTAATACTGGATGTAATTTAAACTAGATTCAAACGTTTAGACATATATATATAACACACATCTTCATCTCATGCATATTACAGATAGGGTATTCCAGCAATAATTACAAGTCTGGTTTAACTGTACCTGAACTTATCGGCATCATAGAGTCTGCATGCTCCGCGGCCTCCACAATGCTTGGTGCCCCACTTCAAACAGGTTCGGTCAATCAGTGCTCCGAAATATATTGGAGGAGGTATTCCGCCTGAAAACACAGAAAGTCACATTAGCTTACACATATCAAGAACCAATTTCACCTATTGTTGCCCTCGCTATAAGCATGGTGCTGTAACCTGGATAATACATTTAACGTGAGGATTTTACAAAACCTACATGTATTTTCGATACTTACCCAAACTTCTCACTATCAGTGTCTGCATACCCAGAGCCAGCGACTTCAGGTCTTGCTGTATGGACCTGGGAGATAAGCCCAAACATTATCACATCAGACCTTGATATCAGCATTTTAGCTTATAGAGAAAAAAACCAAAATGCAATATTACCCACAACAGTGTCACAGGGGCAGTTCACATTTGGTACAAAAATCAATAAGGCACTGCGAGGCATCATTACACCCAATCATAAAAGATGTGAGCTGAGCTCCTTCAGCTGACCTGAGCAGTACGATGTATCCCGGCGTGCCCCCACAGGCAGAAATGAAAGACCCCAAGACGGACAAAGCCATGTAGATTACGAATATGTTTTCACACTCGCTCCTCCTGGGGCACTGGCCCAGCACTGCGGACATGTTCATGCCTGGAGTCATCATCTCTTCGGCACAGGTGCAGTTATGAAACATCTAAAGAACCAGAAGACAGAGATGTGTATAACTACCTTTGATTGTGGAATTGTGAGTTGCCACTGCACAATATATATGACTTCAAAAAGAGACATAAAATGATAATGCTGCGAACCTTAGCTCTGCAGGATTAACCAGAGGAAGGATTTCTGTTTAATCGTCATCAAGTTTCAGCAAGAGATGGATTGAAATTACATGTAAGAGGAGCTGTTGTTTGCCTATATTCTCATCTTTAATCTACCAGTTCTATCTATTTCTATAAGGACATATATATTACTGTCTTACCATTTTCTTGCCGATGCCGGTGGAGGTCTGGCAGCCAGCCAGGCAGGGCGAGGCATACGTTACTCCGTTGTATCCGCATACTGGGTCCCAATGCTTCACTGAGCAGGAGCAGCCCATGTTGCACTGTGACAGTAAGGTCTGTTGGTTGTAGGACACTTGAGGATCCCTGGTGCACACAGACAGGAACAGAGATTTGTGAGTAGGGGGTTTTGGTCCAGTGAGGCATAAATGAGTTTCCGTGGAGATTATTCTCCTACAAGCCTCTTAATAAACATGTGTGTTTCTTGTGACAGACAGAGTGATGGGAAACTGGTTTTGTATGCCACTCACCCTTGATATGACACAGTCAGACCTGCCACCTCTGCCTTGTCACAGTAGATGAAGATCTGAACGAAAAGCAGACATAAGGACCCGACGGAGGCAGTGATTGACACCCTGGCTGCTCCGACGACACCCAGCTTGTAACGCTTCAGTATTAGACCTCCGGTGATGATTCCCAAAGCTATTGCTGGCAGGTTCAGTATACCTGGATTGGATGAATAAATTCATCAATGACCGATCAATATGCTGGGAAAACGTCCTACTGATCACAATTATTTTGCCCTAATGTAATCAAAACAATGTGTCAAAAACACTGGGAAAACAAGTAAACATGTTTAAGACTACACATATGGTGAGATAATTACATGGATTGAATATTGAACAGTTATTCTCTATTAGTCGACGTCAGTTTGTTCAAGATGGCATTCATACTTCCATGTTTCAGCCATTGACCCATTACTGATCCAACCATCTGGCCAATATATTCAAGCTACAACACAATCTTTCTACGTACAGAACAATGCAAAACACTGTCAGCGAAGCCGTGCTGGTAAACAGTCATAAAAAGCTAATCATAGCTCAGGGTGCTACTTTACGGACACACACAAAAGGAGAGCCCACAGTGGGCTACTTAGTGCTTACATTTCAAGTCAACTTTATCTCTCGTAATCACACTTCCCTTCAATAACATCATTGTTTCAGTTGTCTTGGGCCACAAAGTGCAGTAAAGACAGAGTGAATGGGGGGGGGGTCAGTTATTGCTCCGTACCTATGAGGAAAATGGCCTTGGAGGCAGATTGTCCGTAGACTTGCTCCATGTACTTTGGCTTGAAGGTGATCATGCCAATGAAGCCGTTGACGGACACCAGGTACGTAAGGATCATCATGGTGAAGATGCTGTTCTTGAAGAGTCTCCTCAGGGACGGAATGAAATCTGGTGAAGAACAAAGAGAAATTGTAGGATTCAAAGTCAAAATAAACGAGTGTCCTTATGTCTTTGCATACAAAACAGCAGCCGTTTTGAGAATCTGTATATTTGAAGTGGTCATTTTTTTCTTCTTCATATATTTTATCTGTCTGTTCACATTCACGATGCAAATGTTGATACACAAATATTTAGTCAGGCATCATTTCTGACACACATGCATGTTGTCATTTTACACACATTAAAGAGCATTATTACGTAACTTTTGTTCTTTCGTTTTACCTTTAATTTTTAAAGTCTATTTTACTTTTGTAACATATTCATTCATTTGTAATATCACTTTCAAATAATGATGTACAATGTGAACACTGTTACATCATGATGAAAAGAACTATGGCATGACTGGCCCTCAGCCGAGGTATCTGTTTCAACATGTGTCTCTGTCCTGAAGTGTCATTCAACTCAGATTCCATGGAGTTTAGTTGCTGCTTTTCCAGGATTCAAGGTTACGGATCTGGGCTCTGGTTTGTCTGGGCTTTACTAAGTTAATGATTAAACACGTCCACCCTAAAAGCTATTTTCGCAGTGACACATCTCTTGGTCTTTTAAATCATGCGTTGTTTTGCTGCTCAAAGCTGGGGAACAAGAAATAAGAGCGCAGGAATAGTCCTTAAAAAGATGTATTCTGAGATTGATTCTGTCAGGTAATATGACATGACCTGTCCTTATATTGCAGTTTTGTCTGTCAACATTACCTTAGGGTAAAAAAGCACACTGCTTTATAGCATTTTGAACTGATGCGGAAGCTTGGATGGTACCTTTAGCCATCTCCTTGAATGTAACTGGATTCTCCTCCTGATTCTGGTTTTTATCTGGCAGGAAATTCTCCTGCTCTGCCGTTGTAGCGAGCTCTGTGCCTTCATTCCGGCTCTGCTCTTCCCCCTGCTTGGGCATAGACTTGGGCAGGAACCAGAATGGGATACTGGACAGCAGGATTACAGTGCCAGTCACTATGAAGCCCAGCCACCAGGCCCCCACCCAGCGGGAGTCCTTATGGTTGATGGTGACAGTGTCTGGGAGCAGAAGACAAGCAAAGACGTCAGATTATGAATGGTTTCATGGACTTTCATTGATAACTCTTCGCTGTTTTGTAATCACTTAATGACAAACGTGGAGGAAGGGTTTACTGTTTTGCTGAAGGGCACTTTAATGCTCGATTTTGAAGGAGAGGTTATGAGTAATAGGGCTGCACAATGAGCCAATCACTCAATATTTTTCTTATCAATCAAGGAAAACTGACTTAATGGGTTAGAACTACCAAAAAATACAATTTGTGCCACATTAACACATATTTAACACATCATCTTCTCCCCCTGATATTGAGATGTACCATACCTAAATCCACAGATCCGATGTCCACGTAGATCTTGGCAAGGAAGGACCCGAGCAAGAACCCAAACATAGGTCCCATGATTCCCACTGTATGGATGCAGGCTAGGGAATGGAGAAACAGAGAAAGACATGTTTAGTACTCTAGCACTGTCACAGCAATTAAGCATTATCCAAAATATACAAGATAGGCACACAGACAAAGCACCAATAGCGGGACACTGACCAAGCAATTAGTAAAGAGAGAGTCAAATTCTGTCAAAGTGATCCAAGGAGATGGGAAATAAAGTAGCTGAGCCCCTAAGAGTGTAAGCTAACACAAGTGTAGTGCAGTGTAAAATGTCATAAAAACTACCACAGACAGCCGGAGGTAAAAAGCAACTGACCTAAATAGAAAGGAGTGTTCTCCTCTCTGGAGAAGTCATCGAGGTAGGACACACCCAGAGGCATGATGGGAGTCTCTCCAATTCCACGCAGCAAGTTTCCCAAAAATACATAGATCCACAAAGACGAGCCAGCTGCCTTTTCACAAGCTGAGGGAGGACAAACGATATTGGCAACTCTTTCTTCTGCTTCTATGAATGAATTGATTTGGTATCTCATCCGTGTGTTCTGTTTGGTACCTGTTATGGACTCTAAATCAGGCATCTCATCTGCCTCAGGCAGGCTGTGGTTGGACATACAGGGCAGGATGCTCTCAGTGCTGTTGATATTTGTACCATGAGACACACTGGTCTCATACTTGTACCTGGAAAAAAATGTTAGAATAGTTACACCACACCGTTGTTTGTTTCAAAAAGAATATCTACAAAAAGATTCTCAGAAAATGACATGGCATATAGATATAAATATAATGCTCAATATAAGTGAAATAATTTGTGTTTATGCAGCATGCGGACATTCTGCGCGTGTCTTTAAGTCTTAATATCTCGCTAACAACTCAAATTGGCAGTGAGATGCCCGTTCAAGGCTGGATTACTAAACAGTGCACCAGAGGCCCAGGCTCCCAGGAGCCACACAACCCTTAAATTACTGCAGATTTTTGGGAGTTTAATCAACTGCAAGTCTGTCAAGGAATTTGCCCCAAGATCAAGTAAGCCGGGTCATGTATTATTTCTTAATATTCTGACTCTGTTTTGTACAGAGGCCAACACTATGAACTTATAAACTAATTTACACACAAACTCTGTGTCCTGGTAGTCCTATTTTCTAATAAAGCACTGGATAGTCTGCTGTGTGCACTAATGTTGGAGGTGACAAGCTAAATACGCAGATTGGGTATGAGCCTCATTGTCTGCCAAACAGCACATTTTTGCCCTGACACCCCGAACAGGCTAATCCCAGCATGTGCACATTAGAATAAATACAATTAGCTGTTAGTTTCTGATATTATATACCTCTTACATATTGTATCCTGAATAACAGTAGTTCTTTGACTCTTCCCATTGTGGTTAAATGAAATGCTAATGTTCCACAGCAGTTCTGCCTCCAAGAACCATATAATGTGATTCTAATTAATGATGTGTATCATTACTCCAGGGCCACAGTATTACATGTGCAACATCTGAATATCAAGAAGGAAACCGTGTACTAACATTCCCTGGAAGAAGTGAGGCAGGGCTATGAGGTAAGATCCAGCAGCCATGATCACACAGCCGATACCAATGAGCCTGGGACGATGGAGCTTTGCACCAAAGTAGCTCACAAAGGCTATTACCAACAGGTTACCTGGGGAGAAGAACAATTCAAATAACTGAATGAATAAGGAACATTTTGGAGAATACGCATATTGACTTTACGTTATTAGATCAATACCACTCTCATGTCTGAGTGCTATTTGTGAAGCTATAGTCAGCAAGCGGTTAGCATAGCTTAGCATAAAGACTGGAAACAAGGGGAAACAGCTAGGCTCTCAAGCTCACTAATTAACATGTTGTAACTGTTTTTCTTAGAAAAAAAACAGTTCTGAATCTTTTTTGTTCTTAAGCTGAACCTACCCATCTCGAAGCTGCCATCTATAACCCCAATGAGGGAGCTGGGGATGTCAAAGCGCCTCTCAATCTGGGTGATGGAGCTCTTCATATAGGATCCACCAAAGGCTTTGGAAAAGTATACAAGTGCCAAAGAGGCCAGGAAGAGCTGGAAACACAGAACGCAACAGTTAGTGGACGTTTGATTCGATTAGACTCGGTTTAGTGATTTGTCAGAGTATTTCTGAATGGTGAAACTGAGTGTTATAGCCGGTTGTAAAGTGACTACTTTGGTAATAATCTCTCCTCAAAGAGTTCCGAGCGAGAGGATTGATCTACTTTCTTGCAGTTCTACAATGCAATGAAAGGTTTTTGAATGAGGCTCATTGCATTACAAAGGGTGAAATGATGTGATTGCACCTTGGACAGATGTTAAGGAACAAGGGTGAATGGCTGTATTGACACATGATTGATTAGGCTCACACACAACAACATTTTGTGTGACATTCACATCTGCTTTTAAGTCTGATTGGATTTACATTCACTTAGATTAGATTCATTTAAATCTAGTCCAATGCAAAAATGTTTGCAGACAAAGAAAGTCAGTCTAAATCGGTGTCAAAGTCTTGGATTGTATCTGGTTAAGAGAAAAATTTGGATTTTTTTAATGCTTTGAAATATGAAATACCAAGACAAATACATAAAGATAAGGTTGAAGACAAGCAGTTATACAGTGACATTTTACACATTTTACTTTGGCACTGTCACAGGTCAATTTGTGTTAACAAGCACATATTTAAATGATTAAGGCCATAGGTGAAGCAGTGAGCTATATTCCCTGACACTTTGTTCAATGGGGAAAGGGTATCACTGACCTTAAGGTTGGAGCAGGAAGCCGCACGTGTTTTTTTGGGCTCTACGCTCATGATGCTGCTGTGTGCTCAACTGATGCAAGGAAGCAGAAAAACACACCGGACCTGCAGAGAGACACCAAGTTTAGGAGCAGAGCACAGTTTGGCGCAAATTAAGTGAATTTCATCAAACAAATAGATTTTCTTCAAAATATCCAAAAATTTAAAATTGACTATTTTATTCACGTCAATTACTTCTTAAAAAGTTCATTGTCAGTGTGTGTAGCAGTGCCCAACCTGTCAAACATACTGGTATATACATTTTCAAGTAGCCTGTTAACAAATGTTACCAAATTCACTTTCTTCCTTGTTTTTTTTAATCACAATACAGACAATTTACCAGTAATTTACACTTAAACACCAGTAAATAGTACAATATTTTTTCAGTGCATCTTACAGAAGGCCTTATTAGTGCAGAATTAGAAGACAGGGAAAAACAGAAAAGGTATTTACCTGAGAGGCAGCAGCGGTCCTGTCACGGATGGGAAGGATGTGGCAAAGCAGCAGAAGGATCGATGTACTTTGCAGGACTTTGTGCTTAAAGCAAGAGTCTTATCACAAACAAACTATAACATCACCTGCAATTAGTAACCAATCCACTTGTGTGTGCTTGTTGATCAGGTCAATAAAAAGATCTCCAACCCCTCCAGCACTCGCGCGCACACAGACACGCACGCACAGCACAAACCCAAACGTGACGGCCCCTGCAGGGTAAGGTCCAGTAGGATGTGTGTCTAAGGTTCAGGGGTTCACCAAATGCACACACAAACACACACAAACACACACAAACACACTCGCAGTCTGCGCACACTCGCACATCCTACTCTGTGAACATCACAAGCCAAAAATCTATCCTTTTGTACACACAACAAACAGCAGCAGCATGAAGCTCCCCAAAGCTTATTTTACAAGCCTGCTGCTTCTGTTGGTTTGTTGTTTTCAAAGACTGAAATGCTTTTCCTGTCCTGGAGAAATTCAGCTTTTGTAAAGCTGGGTGTTTCCTAGGCCTGATCAAAGCCTTCCGGTCCTATTGATAGCCCCTAACAATGGCATTCTCTCTGTGTCGTAATGGCTGAGTATCACCTGATCAGATTTGTTAGATAGAGTATGTAAGACATTCAATGAATACCCTTAAATTTTATCATACCAAAGAACATTTTTGACATTATAGTTGCAGCAGAAATGTCACTCAGTCAGTAATGACATTTACAATTAGTTTTCATTGGGACTTTTCTTCAATTAAAATTGTTGAAAATCATTTTTGGATTATTTAGAGCAGGGATATTCAATTAAAATTCAACGAGGTCCATTTAGAGAGAATTTCCTCATACAAAGGTCCGGAACATAAAAATAATGTCTGACTATGTCTATGATTTAGTCCCATATTGAAGTAGCTAACAGTTGGAATAACATCTGTATGAAGTCAACCACTGACTGTCAATTCAAATAAAGAAAGTTCAATTAAATATCTCAACAATATTTATTAGCAAATTGAACTTGATGAATTATAAATAATACATAATCTAATAATAGATTGTTCTAATGTTTCAAGTAAAATAAGGGCTGAATTTAAGGTCTGTGTACGTTTTGATAGTTTGTTATAATGTTTAATCCAAAAAACGAAAATACAGAAATATCATGTTTTTTTCGTTTTTGTTGTCTGAATCCAAAAACAAGAGAACCAAACTCAAATATCCGACCCATTTTGGTTTTGCCTTTGAAAAGAGACGCAAAGCACGACAGGTAACCCGGAAGTAAAAATATTTCAAAAGTAAAAGTCAAGGCAATAGAATTTACCTGTTTGCGTTAATTATCTAGATTATTGATACAGATGTGTTTAATGCAGTTTATTTCATCTGATATTTGATGTTTATGGTTCATTTGCAACCTAGTTGTATACGTCAAGTATTTTCTCGTTATTTTTATGTCATGGAAGAGTGAGCACGTGTTGTTCATGAAGCATTAAATAATGACAATCGAAAAATAAAGAAGTTTGGTTCATTCTTATTGAACGAATGTGGCCAAGTGGAGAGCAGGGCCGTCCTTTCGTTCAGAGGATCGGCGGTTCGATCCCCGGCTCCGCTAGTCGCATGTCGATGTGTCCTTGAGCAAGACACTTAACCCCAAAATTGCTCCCGTAGCTGTGCCGACGGTGTATGTGATAGAATCTGAATTGTAAGTCGCTTTGGATAAAAGTGTCTGCTAAATGATTGTAATGTAAACACTAAGCATCATTTACTTACCTCATTGATTTATTTGTCACACTTAAATCCTGAATTGAATGGTCAAACAGAAGAGGTCAAAGGGCCAAGATGAGAAGATACAATGTTGGTGAAATGAGTTTTATTGTCATTGAGATACAGAAAGTTTGACTCTAGAATATTCTAAATTTTTTCCTAATCTCACAAGACAAGACAAGAGCAAAAACAAGATGAATTGGTTCTCTTTTCTTCTTTGCTGCCATGTTACCTGTCTTGTGACCCTTCAGATTGATCTCTGGATTGATCTCTGGAGCTGTAGGCAGATTTGTTACTATTTTGAAAATAGTCAGCCTTAAGTTAACACTGATTGTGTTAATTTCAGTTCCACCTCGAAGCCAGATTTTAGGTCAGCTTCCCGAATGCACAGAGGGCCAACAGAATTAGAACAATTTTATTTAAAAGAGAAAACCATTGTTAAAGATTTGTCACGATTAGGCTTTGCCTTCTGTGTTCTGTGTGTGTCTTTGTGTTGCTCCACACCCTCCTCCCTCACCTGCCTCTGATCACTAATCAAGCACTCCCTCCTCATCAGCACAACTCCCCTCACCTGTTCAAGTCACTATATAACCCCCTGCCTCTCAGTCACTCTTTGCCAGATCATTGTCATGTCAACCTGCCTGTTTGGCTCGTCCTGGTCCCGGTTTCCCAGTCTGCCTGCCCTGCCAGATTTCCACCCTCGTCTCGTCCTTGGTTTCCCTGCTGTTTACGATGTAAGATTCTTGTTTTCCTGGTTCATTAAAGACCTGTTTCACTCTACTTTTGATCATGTCTGCATTTGAGTCCTCCACCAACACCCTGTGACAAGATTCATTTATTATTATAAGGAAGAGGATCCCTAGTTACTTGGCCAGAGAGGGATGCCCAAAAAAAGCCACAGACCTTTTGTCGGATGCATTAGTGGCTGCAGACTGGAATGAACAAGAGGTGCGCTCCCTGACAGTATCACACTTTGGCACCAACCCCTTTCACAGAGCACAGGACCAGGAAGCTGCAGAGAAGGAATTTGCTCTGCAGTGCCCAGATGTGTGTGTACTGCTGGACAATGCTGTCAATAATCTGCTCAATTAATTATTGACAGCATCGGACTCAAATGCCTGAATGATGTTACAAGAAGACATTGTCAGCACTGTTTTTTATTTTCCTTTTATCTCATGTCACCATCTACTTGTGAATAGATCAAATATAGAATGTGAAATTAGCGGTATTCTTACACAAGTGATAACACTATTAACAGTGGTATGAATAATCATTCGAAGCTATACAATTCACCTGATTCAACTAATGGCTTCTTAGTTCTTTCTATATGTGCTGTTGGTAAGATTATTTGAATGACTCTTGTCTTGTGGTGTTTATGTTGCAGATGGGATGTTTTCTTTTTTTACATCTTGGGGCTACATTCTTGCCCGCCTTTTTCACCTGCCTCAGATGTTCTCCGCACCTTACCATCACTTCGATGAATGCTGTCCCCTTCCTTCATAGAGCTTGGACCAATAGCTATACCTCCACAACATTCGCCCACATCGTAAAGATCTCAACTCGGGTCGATCTAGTCTCGAGTAACATGGGGTTCTTGAGGATCCGCCGTGACCAGATGCTACAGCGGATTCCTTATCGAAGCTCCCCACCACTCATTCGGCTAACCGGACGAGCGACACGAAGTTCAAGCCTCGCGTCTCATTCATGTTTACCTCCAATAAATGTGTTGAACACTTCTAATTGATGGTGTGGTCCTGGCTAGTGAAGTTAGGTTTATTACTGCACCGAAAGAAGAGACATACTACAAACCTTGGCGAGTAGACAATGATTACATTTATTTGATTTAAAGCAGATTAAGGAATTGCTTTAAATAAAGAAATAAAGTGAGGGACTTCAATTAATAATCCATTACATTTGAATACATAAGATTTTGATTTGAAAATTGAAAGGGAACATTATAAAAAAGCTTGTTCCTGGCTTATTCCGGTCTGTGCTGCAGAGATTTTTCAGCGCAGTATGTTACAGGCTCTGCACTCACAGCTGGTGATGTGCTTGTAGGTGTAGTCTCTGGTCGTGAGGTCGAAGCACTGCAGGGTCACTCGTCTTCTCTCTGAGCTCAGCGCCTGACAGCAATTGCTCTTCTGCATCACCTGCAGGTCCCCGTGTAACACAGCCCTGTAGCAGTGAGCCGAGGCACCAAGGTGAGGAGGAAAGAGTGGGAGGGGAGGGGAAGGAAGGAAGACGAAGGAAAGAGAGGCATTGACACAGAGGGAGGGAGAGAGTCTCAAAAATGTACACAGGACTGAAGTGAAAGTACTCGGTATGAACACCAAAAATCTCAAAATGTGTATCACAACTATTGGTATTGATCAATATCAGAGTATTTCTTCTCACCTGGCCTGAGACACACATTGGCCCTGACACACAGGTAACCGCATGACGGTGGTACAGTTGTCTATTGTAACGTTGATACCGGTCACCTTCGGAATACAGCTCTGGTTACCTGAAGTTGGAGAAAATTAAAACGGTTTTGATGCAGTTTGATGATTGGAAGCAGAGCATCTACAAAATGTGAAGACAGTTGTAAATGACTTCAGTATTTTATGGATTTTGACTTAACTTACATGTAAAGCAGCAGTGTTGGTCATCCCAAATTCTGTCCTCCTGGTGAGTACATCATAAGAGGTTAAATGTTTGTTGTTCTAGTTATTCTTTAACACCTAACTATGGCTTGGCTCCAGTGTTTCAGCTTATAAAGTGTACTTGGGTATCCACCCCCTAACCCTTTTTAATTCCAAAATATACCCCCTGTAGGAATATATTCTTTCTTTCCACACCCAATAAATGTAACTCTTTTTTTCTTTATTATAAAACAATGCTCTAGTGGGAATTGCAGTAATACACGAGTTATTACTGTAGAATAAGGCAGAGCAGGGGGTGTGCAGTACCTCCGGACACTTGTCTTGGGGACAGACTCTAGTCTCAGTCTGAATACCCTCTTTGCTGCAACTGAATGAAATGCAGGGATGGGCGGCATCCTTCCATCTGTCTCCTATCTACACACACAAAGACTGATATCACAACAAGACACTATACAGTACAATAATTCATTTCAATCTAAAAAGCATGTTTCGTCTAAGGGAGACCAAACACTTTCCTTTGCCACGATTAGACACAACTTACCTTGTATGTTTGTTGATGATAGCTGCATGTCTTCTCAACTGAAAAATAAAGTAATAATATGTGATTTGTTTTAGTATTCATGTGGGGAAAGAAAGGTCTCTGACTAATACCCTGATTTTAAAATATTACGACTTGCCAGTGCTTACCACAAATCTGTTTACCACAGCAAGGGCCGTTTACCAGTACAGACTTGGGGCCACATTGCAGAACTTGCTCAGGAGGTTTAGGAACACACTCCTCTGTGAGAGTCTGGTTGTTACATTTACACAGGTGACAGCCGGACTGCCACACCTCACCAGGCTGAAAGACAGAAATACTTTTTAAATTTAGAATCCAATTTAGAGTCAGGGATAATACTATTGTTTGCACTGATGAGACAAAGATACTCACCAGTTTGGGCTCACCGAGTGGTCCTTTACAATCTAATGGACAAGACACAAACACTACATTACCACTAGTAACAGCAACACATGTCTAGGTGTGAGTGTCAGCCTTTTAGGCCATGTTACTCACAGAGACAGTCCGACACACAGGTGTTTGAGTGGTTTCCTGCCTTGATTTGGCCGCTGGGACAAAAACAGCCTTCTCTGCTGCTCTCGAGGGAGGATCCTCGATAAACCTTTCTGTACAGCCAAACCAGAAGAGCAATGGTGACAGGGGAAACATTTTCAATTTAATAAAGTGAGAAATAAATGTCACAAGAGTATGTGTGTTTACAAACCCTCCATAGCAGAAGTCATCCAGCCTGTCATGACATTCTCTGTAAACCAATCCTTTTGGACATGGCACAGCTGGAACATGAACAAGGACAATTAGGTGATAATGTAAGTATCAGTTTAAAGAGGAATTTATCATTGGCACTTTTAATCAAATCATTACAGTCAGGCCAAAAAAAACATAAAAGAAATGTGTGCAAATACATTAAGTCCTTGGTCTTTCTGACTTTGCTCTACGGAGAATAAGAAAAATGATAACAGATACATACTGCATTTTCCATTAGTCAGTGCTCTCCAGTCAATACAGAAGCCAGCTTTCATGCATTCAGTAGCAGCTTGCTCTAGTGAAGCGCAAGGACCATTCCTGCATGAATCAAACTCACAGTTCTTCTTTTTAAGGTTCAAATTCACATACTGGCTGCAATTTGAAAAGGCTCTGAGGAAACAAAGACAGACAGCCATGGTTATACACCATTGAAATATGGGGTTACTAGGGTGGTACGAGCTGGTTTCTGGGTCACTTCTAGGTGGTTGCTTGGATGTTGTTAAGGTGTTACAGGTGACTGCTAGGGCATTAGTAGCTAGGGTGTTACAGGTGACTCTGGGCGGTTGCTACGACATTTCTGCATTAGTCACAAAGGTAGCTCTTAAGTAAAGGCAAAGCATTGTGCCTTGAGCGTATAACATAAAGTGTGACACATGTGTAACACAGTAATTCTCAATTCTCCCGCCAATTCCCTGAGGAGCTGTGTGTGTGTTAGTGTGTGGAGCTTACGGGTGGTCTAGCAGCACACATAGAAGGCTTGCAGGGCAGGGGGTGGCTGTAGGGGTTACTGTAGTTGGTGAGAGACAAGGTACGTCCCTTGGTGTAAAAGCACAGGCTGGTTTCAGCGGGTCGTCGTACACCCAGTCATAAGCCGTCTTATCACAGCAGCTGTCGTCCTCCATCTGCCCTCCTTTACGGATACATGATCCAACACCACATACTCCTGGAGAAGAAAAGACAGAGGTGCAATTTGGTGTCTAATATACACATATACAAAAAAAAGAGAAAGTGCCTGGCAAAAAAATGTAGGTGTAAAATGTGACCAAGCAAATTGGAACACAGTCAACAAGTTTCTTTGGAATTTGTGTTTCTTTCCGCCCGGGCTGGTGATCAGAAGGTTTTTAATGCAGCGTTAAGCTAAACATAGTATTTGGTTTTGATAGCCAACAAGTCAATTTAGAAACATGTTGGCTATTGTTGTAAGTTAACAGACAAGATTAAGTTGTTTTTTTTGCATTACCTGGCTGAAAATCCATTCCACACACAAACAACCACTGTTTAAATAGATATACAACATGCACTTAACCACACCCGTGGACAGTGCCTTTCAATCCATTACCCACCACATTGTCCCTGGGTGTTGTTGAGGAAGTGCTCCATGGCCAAACTGACCACCAGGGTATAGGCCGGACTGAGGGAGACATAAGAACGGATCTCTGGCAGGTAGATTGACACTGCGTACATCGTGGTCTCAAACCTAATCCCATGCTCCTCATATGGTGGCTCTATGGTCACGTTGTTCAGAGTGGCCTAGGGCAGATTACATCAGTATCAATCTGGCAGATTAGATAAGCATCAAACCAACTGTCTAACTCTTTAATAGAGCATGGTAACCTTATATAGTAGAGCCTCCTAAAAACATCCTTTATTACAGAAAATGATTATTAGCATCCTTGTAGCCAAATAGCCAATACATTGTACAGTAGGGCATGGCATACTATAAATAAATAGAGTTGTATTGTATCCTACCTGTACTATGAACAAATCTGGAAGGATACTGAGTGTAGCTATATTGTTCTGATATTGCACGATGACGCTTTTAATACAGGCACCATGGAGGCCTTCTACACAGTCTTTGTTTTCCGCAGCAATGGTCAGGGTATGACGTGGTGACCTCTCCTCCACCAGGATGTAGCTGCATTCGACCAGGAAATCAAAATTTACACCTTGGAAAGAGATGTAGTGGGGGTCCCCATATAGCTCACAGCGACCTAGGGAGGATACGAGGGGATTTTAGTAGATATGGACGCACAACACAAATGTATTTGAAAAAAAATTAATTAATTAGCCACACTAGTAATGGCTTTGTTGGTCAGTCAATGCACCACTTTTATCCTGATCCAGACAAGGATACACTTACAGTCACACTTCCATGTTTCACAGCATCCATCCGAGACTTTTGTGACCTGGCCTCTGGGGCAGTTGGGAATTGAAAGCTCCGGGCAAACCATTGAAGTCAACTCTATCGTCCCACCTGCACAGGTCTTATGGAAGCAATCCTCTGTCCACGTCTCACCACAATCCCAGCGTTTTCTCCTCTTCAGGTCTGTACATTCACACACTGGTGAAACACAAAACGGTTGAAGACAGTGAACAAATAAAATACTAAAACATAGCTTTGGTAATTTAAGGAACTGATTGCTAGGATAACTGAAAAACAGAATAATGTGCAGAACAAGTAGATGGCACGCACTATTGGGTGTGGAGCTTGAATTCTCAATGGTATATGTTGTCGGTGGCATCGTCGTAGATTTAGACGTCGTTGGCTCTGAGACGGTGGTACTGGGTTGAGTGGTTAAATTCGTAGAGGAATTTATTAATGTTTTAAATGTTTCAGGGGGAGCTTCTGTGATGGTTACTTCAGTCGGACTTGAGGTTTCAGCAGATGTAGCGTTGGTTGCAAAGGTGGTTGTTGATTGAAGTGTTGTTGCTGTTGGCTTACTATGCATTGTTGTTGGTTGTGTTGGGATGGTTTCTGTTGTCATAACTGTCTCAGTGGGCTCTGATTCTGTTGTCCATGTTGTTGAAGCATTGGTGAATGAAGAACTCTGAGTTGTGTATGATGTGGTCAGCACTGTGCTTGTAGGTTCAGATGTAGGTAACTCTGCTGTGGTCATCTGTACTGTGGTAGATTCAGTGTTATTTGTTGTCACTGTGAGCTGTGTTGAGGCAGCAGTTGTCAATGAAGGAGTTACTGAGGATTCAGTTGTGATTGTAGCTGTAGGTGTATAGGTGGTGGAAAGCACAGTTGTCAAATTTTCAGTCGTAGTTGAGATATTGTTAATGGTCGTCATTGGTGGAGAGGTGGTGGTGGGTGTTGATGACCGTGTTTCAGCTGTAGTTAAGAAAGTTGTAGTTGTTGGAGTAGATGTGGTGGAAAGCACAGTTGTCAAATTTTCAGTCGTAGTTGAGATATTGTTAATGGTCGTCATTGGTGAAGAGGTGGTGGGAGGCGTTGTTGACCATGTTTCAGCCGTAGTTAAGAAAGTTGTAGTTGTTGGAGTAGATGTGGTGGAAGGCTCAGTTGTCAAATTTTCAGTCGTAGTTGAGATATTGTTAATGGTCGTCATTGGTGAAGAGGTGGTGGGGGGCGTTGTTGACCATGTTTCAGCTGTAGTTAAAGAAGTTGTAGTTGTTGGTGTAGACGTGGTGGAAAGCACAGTTGACCAATTTTCAGTCGCAGTGGTAATATTGGTAATGGTCGTCATTGGTGAAGAGGTGATGGGAGGCGTTGTAGACCATGTTTCAGCCGTAGTTAAGGAAGTTGTAGTTGTTGGAGTAGATGTGGTGGAAGGCTCAGTTGTCAAATTTTCAGTAGTAGTTGAAATATTGTTAATGGTCGTCATTGGTGGAGAGGTGGTGGTGGGTGTTGATGACCGTGTTTCAGCTGTAGTTAAAGAAGTTGCAGGTGTAGACGTGGTGGAAAGCTCAGTTGACAAATTTTCAGTCGTAGTTGAGATATTGTTAATGGTCGTCATTAGTGAAGAGGTGGTGGGAGGCGTTGTTGACCATGTTTCAGCCGTAGTTAAGCTAGCTGTAGTGGGAGTGCTTGATGTTGGAGTGGTGGCAGGTGTGGTGGTTGGAGGTATTCGAGGTGCTGTCGGAGTAGAGGTGGAATTGAGGTCTGGTGTTTTGAAAACAGCTTCTGTTATGGCACATGTACTCTAAACCATTTAAAAAGCTAAGTGCCTCAAAAACTACTTAATAGTTTTGTGTAACTGGTAATAGACACATGAAATAGTAGATGTAGTGACTCATGAATATAATTGACACTTACGGCAGTTTACTGTTCCATTGTTACAGTGGCTGAAAATAATTACATAGGAGAGTAAGAAACATCCAGTTGTTAATGTAATGAATAATTAAATTAATATTATGGTTACCCTGGACATGTACATATTTAGAAACAGTCTATTAAGAATGGCCCAACTATGTATAATGTTAATATGTTTAAATGAATAAAGATTTAAATGACAAAAAAAGAATGAACCAACTTACCACTCAATAGACTGTATCATTACCACTGCCCGAGGTTGAATGACAGTGTCATTAAAATAACAGGTGCAGTTTCTCAATTTAGTGCATTCCCCAGTATTTTCATCATAGTATGGCTCCTCCTTTGAACATCTAGGGTAGCAGCCTTTTCCAATAGTAAACAAAATGTTTATTGTATGGGTGCAAATGATTTCGTATGCATTGACTGGAAAAAAATCATTTGATTCGGTCTAGATTGTGAGGATTTCATTAGAAGACCAGGTTTGTTTGCAATACTGCCAGAATTATAGACAAACTAAGTAGCATTAAGACATTATTTTCAATTTTCATCTCACGAACAGATGATTAAGAATTAAGTTTAGCTGTTATATTTGGATACAACTGAGAAAGTCTGGTTACCTTCCAGCTTGTGAGTGATGTAGTTGTCTTTGCCGCAGGTCAGCATCTCGCCACAGGCTTCATAGTGCCAGCTACACTGCCCCTGCTCGTTGTAGTAGTCACAGTAGACCGCTATGGTTTAAATTATCACAGGTTAAACTTTTATAGCGTTATAGTTTATGTTTTGCAAACATCCAATAATGATTGAAACACTTTTCGTTATATGGATTGACTATAATGATTGATTACTTTATTTACTTATGTGTCTTACACAGCGTCAGTCCTCTGCGTAGTGACTAAGAAACATTAAACTATTGATAAAACATTATAGAATGTGTATGAAGTTTGTGAAATTCTAAGCAGTGAAATAACACTTAAGATACTTTTAAATTGTCTGTAATACCAAATTTGTCATTTTATTTAACTGTAGCAAGAAAGTAAACTGAAACAATAGATTAGCATAGCCCAATAACAAAGTGAGTTTGCCAACTGACCGGTGATTATCTTATCTGTGTTCTCTTTATGGGTTTGAGTTATAAGTTATTCTAAAATTTCACAGTGCCGTTAACATGTCAAAAAATAGTAAAGTTCAATTTTTATTAGTGAGGGAAAAAAGGGTCTTAACTTACGACACATATCAGGTGTCCTCCATTTCACACACACATCCTGGTCGCTGCAGGCCTCTGCGTAGGCGGCCACAGCTGTGCAGAAGCCAAGGAACTTCCCTTCAAACTCACAGGAGCAGGACTCCTGCACACAGGCATGGTAGTAGGGGTCTGGATCCACCTGGGGATTGTAAAACAACCAGAATGGAGTTTGTATTAACACATTTAAGGGGTCTCTGTGAGGGTCCTTTACTGTAAAAAGTTATATGGTTTCATATTGCAACAGATTTGGATAAGGAAATCCCAAATATATAGCAATTAAAGACCTGCACATGAGTCTAACCCCTGACCCTGATGTTTGTGCCATGCTAAATATGTAACATGCATACTTTTAAGTGGCATTGTTTGAATGTGTCTCCTGTAAGGATCATACAGCGCCGCTGGGCCCATGCTGAGCAGTAGGAGTTGCGTTCACATGGAAATATCTCAGTGGTCACATCAGAGCAAGGAGGTGTGGCGGCTTTCCAGCTGTTGCCAAATGCCAGGGGACTGGACACTAGTAAAAAAACATTTTTTGGGGTGTTATTTTGACCACCATGACAAAAGTAAAAGTCCTTTATCAAACAAAAAGAAAATCAGTTTACCTGCTGAGCCACTTATCAGTAGGTCATTCATCTCATTGGAGTCAAAATTCCCACAGAGGCCGCACACTTGTTTCTGAAGGAGAGATGGTTAAAAAGTCATCAAAAAGTTCTGAAAGTAAAAGAAAAATGAAAGTAACTGCTGAGTCTTAGGTAGGATGTAGCTATTAATTATGATCAATGCTTAAATAAAATGTAAGTGTCTTTTCTGATACTACCAAAGTTCAAATTCCAATACATAGTGGATTTTGATATAAACCTGAGTTGACTTGAGCTGGTTAAATAAATAAATCAGGTCAAAGTTGAGAAATAAAGAAAGAAGACATTAAGCAATTGTAGAAAATGTTGATTTCAAATCTAAATTCAGTTTTTTTATTTAGTCTGAATGATGTATATAAATTACGATATTTCAAAATCCTCATCACTCACCCTCCAGTATGCATGCAGCTCTATGGTGATCCGGGTGTGTTTGTCCCAGATGAGAGTTATCCCTCTGCTCGGCACTGAGATTACGACGTAGAGTCCCAAAGTGTGTGTGGAGTAAAGTGAATCTTCCTGCGGAGTCCAGCCTTCATGGAGGCGTCTGGTCACCTTCATGTCGCTCAGCGTCAGGGTGACTTCGCCCTTTTTAGGTCAAAACAAGTACAACTCATTGTATAAGAATAGTTTTAAATGTCGATGAACAAGTTACTCGACTTTTACTGACTGACAAACATTTATCTGTGAAATTCAATCAGACAAACAGCCATCCACCTGCAGGTCAAGGATGATGGAGCGAGAGCAGGTGAGCGCCTCGTCACAGCAGGGGACACTCTCCACTCTGACAGAGAAGGTGCCGTTTCTATTTCCACAGGCATCCTAAAGCAATAAGAGTTAAAAGGTTAATGAAATATGGCAAACTATATTTGGATGATGTACTGTGTCCTTTTGAAGGCAATGCATTGGAGGCCTACAAAGCTTCAGCAAAGACACACGTGAGCTGTGGATTCATTCCTACTTTGGTCTCACCTCGACAAGTGTGTACTGACACTGTCCAGCAAAGCGGTACCGTTTGGAGTCAAAGGTCTGGTAGTGTCCGTTTCCGTAAACTTGACACTGCCCCGGGCAAGGCTCATCTTTGCAGTGCCACTGACCCTGACCACAGATACTGTAACATAGAGTGATGTTAACCTTTCAGTCATTCTCTTCATCACGGCTTTATTAGCTTCTGATGAGATAGGACCGTTTGAACGAACAAGTAGGAGAAAGGAGGAGGTGTTACCATGTTTTACAGTTGGTTTTGACGCGCTGTCCCGCACTGAATACTTTGCCACTGTACACACAGGTGCAGTTGTTCAGAGAAACACAGTTTCCATGGTGATCCTCATACTGGTCATGTGGGCAGTAACAGCCACTCTCACAGGTCACACTGGCACCCTGGAAATCACAGCAAAATAAAATACCTTAGCATTAGGGAATGTTTTAGCCATCACAATAATAGAAACCTGTACTTGGACAAAGGGTTAATGTTAGGGATATGATTTACTGACAGGAAGGTTATGTAAAATATGTTTCAGTAGCAGCTGCTTTCAATTATGGTACAAGAAAAGCATCACATTACCTAAAGACATATGTCTCCCGAATGCTATTAATAATAAATAGCCATATTATTCATCAGTTTTAACGGGTAATTAGTCAGCTGCTGCTTTTAATTGAAGAATAAATTAATTAATACGAAAGCCATGGATACAAACATATAATCAGTTGACCTACCGTTGGTTTGCTGATATAGTCGCAGGTTTTCTGAGCCGTGTTAACTGCGTCCTCAGAGCAATGAACACAAACCTTCCCATTCGTGCACCCTGTGTTAATTATATTTCAGACAGTTTGACACATTATTAAGTTTAACTTTTCTCTTCTTTCTCTTTTTTAAGACTTTTTATTGCTAACATTCTGGGTGAATTTCCACTTTTAACAAATGAATGAAGTTGAAACAAAGACAACAAAGGATGAGTATGATGTCGATATGATTATGATAGAAGAATATATATTTACCACAATCCCGAGAACAGCGCAGTTCTCCATTCTCGCAGACGCTGCAATAGACACAATGTTTGCTTTGACATATATAGCACAATTTTGCTTCAGTATATGGACATCAAAGGTGGAGACAACACAATTAGGCACACTATAACAGCATTGGGAAGACTTGGTTAGGGAAGACAGTGGGAAATAGACATAAATGGTATATTTAAATGGCTGTAAGTACTCAGATGATCAGCTCACCACTTTTGTCCGTCGATAACAGCAGACCCCGGGGCCATTGTACCTTTGTAGTAGTAACAAGCACACTCTGCCTTCGGGGTACAGACTTGTCCTTGGTTCAGGTGAGTTCCCTGCGGACAGCCACAGCCCTCCACAGGATCGTCATCCAGCCCACAGAGAAGGTCAGGGCCAGACAGAGAACGGCATGTGTGGTTGCAGGCTTGCATGTTGTAGGAGAACTCTTGGTTTTTCTGACATTTCACAGCTGGGACACAACATTAAATGTATCACTGATTTTGTATCCTACATCAACTAAAATGTGACATTCTTCTTTAACATAAATGTACACTCTTGTAACACAGTAGTTGATTCAACCTATAGTCTGTATAAAGCCTTTACATTTACTGTTGTAAACATCTGGGGTCTGAAAGGTTTTTAATCATCTTTTTATTATTATCACAAATGTCAACAGCAAATCTGATAAATTGCAACTTTTATTTCTGTTAATCTGTTTCAACATTTGAAAGTCAGAGGTATCACATCTGATATTTTTGTATCATCACATGATTAAAGCCGGTTACTTTTGCACATATTGCCTGCTGGTGAATGATCCAGTGGTAATGTAGACATTTTGCGAAGTCTGGGTCACCTTTGCATTGCGCAATGAAGCCTGCATGCCGGCCCGTCATCGCGGGAGCCCCGTCTGGTGTCACCGACACCAGCTTTTCCAAAGGTACCTTTTTCTCCACGAAGAAACTAGTAAAAAGTCTCGTCTATAGCCGAGCGGAGGATCCAACCCTCCGAGGCGCGGGGGATCCAACCCTCCGAGGCGCGCGAGCGTCTTCGGGCGCCCGCTTTCAAACCTCTAGTCTGGGCCTTTTCGCTCGGATTGCCCCGCGGCCTGTTCCGAGGATTTACGGACCTGACGACGGGGTGCGCTCGCGGCGCGCGTCTGGCACCAACGGGATGCGACCGCCATTCAGAACCTGAAAACTTAGTGCGGTGCGGCAGCCTCGTCCTGGCTGTCCGCCGTGCGCCTCCGGGTACCCAACTCTCTTAACTCTCTGCAAGCGTTTTTGATTAAAAAAGAACAGCAACTACAATTTTAGACGGAGCTCCATAATGACTCGTGCTATTTTTAGAACATGTCTTGCGGGCGACTCACGTGGTCCCTGCGGGCGACAGGGTGCCCGCGGGCACCGTGTTGGCTACCTCTGCCCTATATAGACTCCTGCCTCCCAGACACACATTGCCAGATTGTTCTCCTGTTTTCAATGTCAGACTCTCCAGCACGCTCTCGCGGACTGATCTCCTTTTACCGACCCTGTTCTACCCGCCTTGCCTCACTCCCAGTAAACCCACCAGCCTTCTGATCCTGAATCTGATTAACTCTGCCTGCTGTATCTGGAAGTTTGTAATAAAAGCCAAAGATCCCTGGAATCTTGTGTGTTGCATTTGGGTCCATATACAACCGGTGACAAGTTGTTTTGTTGAACATCACTCCTTTGGCTTTTTTCAGTGGACTTTGAACAATAAAGTGGGAGGATGCAGACAGAATACATTGATATTAACTGGACTTACTGCAGTTCGTGGCTTTCCTCCAGTCACCAATTACAACACCCAGACTGGCGCAGGCTTTGGCATAGCTGCCCAGAGCAACACACAAGCACTGAGTCAGACTGCTGCCACAGTCGCATGTTCTTTGGATGCAAGCCTGGAAATTAAAAAAAAATCAGTCATTGATATGCTAATCGCTGAAAACTCCAAAACGTATTAAGGATTTAGTTTTGGGCAAAAGTCTTGTTACCATGTGGTAGTGATCAGTTGGGATATGACCGTGGCACTTAGCAAATATCCCAATTGGGTTGTTCAACACAGAGCACTTTCTCTCAGCATATATCTCTGCAAAAATACATATTGAAATCATTAAATATGTTTGCTTTTCCTTCTAGGTTGAGTATTTGTATCATATCACAGAGACGCCAGCAAGCTAGCGAGCAAATTCAAGTGTTTTAATATAAAAATTGTATGTCTATTTTTAAAAATAACTTCTCATCCCTGATAGGCAGACAAATAAAATATTGAGTATGAATTTATACACACTAGTGCAGTGCCCCTTCAAAAATGGGCCTCCTCAAAACGGGCCTATTGCTGGGCCTCTGGTGTTGCTGCTTGCAACATTCTCGAGAGCCGTTCATCAAAAAAACTTCACATTCGACACTGCACTTCCTTATCCTGGGTAAAAATACAACCGCCATGACTATAGTTGCATCCCCTAACAATGCTACAGTATACACTACACACTGTGTCCATAATGCACTACTAATAGATATGACCCGTAGATCTCAAGACCTCGCACTTGACACATGTGGTCCTCAGCGACATACAAGTGTTTTGGCGTTCGGATGAGCGGTTCTCGAGAAAATCGAAGGACAGACATACAAACAGAAACCATTTCCAACATTTTTGAAGCACATTTATACGATAAATTGGTACCATTGTCAGTGTTGAAGCAGGTCCTGGGTATGTTCACTGCACAAGCAGCCACACTCCAGGACTGAGTGAATGGTTGAACTGAGTTCTCGATGATCCCGCTGCTGGTGGTGAAGTCATCCGTGGTGTCATTGTTGCTGTTGCCACAAAGACCTGAAAGACATACTGGCTATGATTACACATCAAATTGGATCGTGCCGCAGAAAATATATAGTATTTTTGTATTTATTGTTGTTATTATTTTGGTCTTGAGAGCTAATTTAAAAAGAAAAGTCATAATGAAAGTGAATCCCAAAGTGAATATATTTTGTTTGTAGACTGAGATCCTTACCTGAGATCATGCCAGGGTGGCTTCTGGGTGCGGTGATGTACAGCTGGATTTCAGGAGACATCTGGACTTGGAAATTCAAACCAAAGGATGTGTGGACCTGGACGTACATGGAGGACTGCCAGAAAACCAGAGCATGATCTGACAGGAGATGGAATTTTGTATGTGAATGGGTGGGTGGGTAAATGAGCCATTATGGATGGATTACTAGACTACTAGACATACTGGACCATAATTAAGGTCCATGAACAACATTTCTTCCCGTTTTTTTCTTTTTACCAGACTGATGAAGTTCATTGATCTCCTCCCCACCGAATGTAACCATGTTCTGTGAGAATATATACGTTCCCTGCAAAACCAAAAAAGAAGGGTATTTATATTCCATGACCGCACACTACTGTTGATTGGTGTGTTTTTCGTAGATTATGTTATTTGAAATTTAACCCTCGAAGACTGCTTGTACCTGAAAAAGCTGAAATATAACTGTAGTCACAGAGGGTGCCTTTTCAGAAAACACGATTGTTATTGTACAGTTGAGACCCTTAAAATGAAAAGAGCAGTTAGTATCATATAAAGACTAGGTGGGTTAATGTTACATGTTGGGGTAGTGGGAAAAATTCACCTGTAAAGCCACATATTTACATTTGCCAGGGATGCCATACTGTTTGCCATCGAATGTTGTCACAAACTGGCCTTCAATGAGACATCTTGTGGGGCAGAGGTTCTCTGAGCATTGCCATTTCCCACTGTCACACACACTGTGTGAAGATAAAACCTAAATTAAAAACTTAAGAATAGTTCATCTTATTTATCCCGAAAAAAGAAGTATCAAAACAGTTTTCCCGCCCATTTTTATTGCTCGGGACCTTCTTGTGAGTCTGAAATAAAGTTTGAATTGTATTACCATGACTGACACTTGGTGCTTCGTATGTCTCCGCTTATGTAGTTCTTGCCAGCAAACTCACAGGAGCAGCTGGACACACTGACACAGTGATGGCCATATGCGCGATCATTAAGGACTTTACCTAAAACGCAAATATGTATACCTTTTTATTATTAGAATCATGGAAGCTAAACACGCAATGAAACATGTGAAGAGCTACATCATGAAGACAGATAGTGCTTTTTCACCATTTGGGCAGAGACAGGAGCTGGTGAGTTCCTGGTTGGAGAGCGTGGGGTTCGGGTTGGAGCAGCTGGGAACAAAGGCTGGACCCTGATTTTCATAAACCAGATCTCCTGGACAACTTGGTTCCTCTGCATTAAACCACAGAAACAAGGCAATCACATCAAGTGTCCATCAAATGAGTGTCCTAACATGCCAAATAACTTTAAAACCTAGTTTTTATAGAGCACCTACCACATTTGGTTACATCTCTCCATATCCGCCAGGCATAGCTTGTCTCGCCACACTGTTGTACAACTTCTTTGAAGAACGAACAGATGATGTGTCGGCTTGTTTCGTAGCCGTAAATGTTCTCTTCACAGAGTTGGATATAGTCGGGCATCCTGGCTCTCAGACAATCCAAGGTGTAGGAAAAGAACGTTCTGCATAACTACAAATATCATCAGAGAAACCACTTGAACATCTGGAACTAGTACACATTGTACAGAGTGAGTGTAAATCTCCACCACCGATGCAGAAAAGAAAAGAACAGAGTAGAGGAGAAGGGAGATGCTGCTGCTGTGCTTATTGATGTAAGTGAATGCTGACAATATGGTACTGATCTTAATATTATTTTTAATTATTCAGTGGGTTTTATTTTCAACCCTTTTGTTATTCATATTTCATCTTATTTCTTATTTTCATCTCATTTTATCAAGCATGTTTATTTTCCATCTAATTCTCCCTTTACTATGGCATGGGGTGTATTTCCTTTTTATTGTAAAGCATGTTGAGCTGCATTTCTTGTATGACAGGTGCAATACAAATGGCGTGAATAATTATGGTTATTGGTGTTATTATCATCATTATTATTGTGAAAATGAATTGAGGTGTGTGCACCCTAATTGTATGTTTAAGCACAGCTGAATGCATTGCCTTCCAAAGATGTAAATTAACATCAACAAAACTTAGCAGCATGACGTTTATGAGTCAATATTTTAAAACTGCCATGATATCCTATAAAGACGCTACTTTATAACTAAAAGTCGGTATAGTGTCAATAAATTCAAACCCTTTTCAATGAGTGAAAAGAAACAAAGAAAGTACATAGAGCAGAGCACTACCAATAGCAGACCGGAATCTAGTATCATCACAGCATCAACTTGTGTTTGACGTCAGTCAGCCATTACAACTGTTAACTTACTAGATTACTAGCGGACACAGGATCTCGGGTTTGACATGTGTCCTCTGGAATCACGCTCTCTGTGATCAACTGCTGCCTGTTGCCTGAAGTCATGAAAATTGTACATTCTTAGAGCAAACTGTATGCAAGCAAATGTCAAAGTACAGGCGATTACAACCACAACCCCAACCTGCTCTCAATTCCAGTCATCTAACCATCATACCTGGGATGTTGTGTTTTCCACAGAGTCCAGACATGTCGGTGCTCAGCTCCTGCTCCAGCTCCACCTTGACAACAAGTTTAAACATTGCATTGTGTGACTGTGATTATGTGTGTTGTGTCTACTGTATTATGTCAACTCACCCACACGATGTCTATTCCTCCAGGTACATTGTGCCAGGTGACAGACAGAGGAAGCAGCGAGCTCGTCAGTCGAGTGTAGATGCCGTACTGAAAGATATGCTGGTAGGTGTGGTCGTATGGAAGGGAAACGCTGTCAGCAAATAAACATTTACAGTTAATAAACTGTTGGACGGGGAACCCCCGATGCCACCGGGTATTTCGCACACTGTTCAGATCCTATACAGTATGTAAGTAAAAGTACCACACTGTAAATCATTTCAGCTGCACTTGTACATTTTCAAATGTTCTGTGTCCAAAAATCTAAAGAAACTAGTCACTAAAGTTTTCAAATAATTGTAGTCATGTAAAAAGTAAAATATTTCCCTCTGAGGTGTAGTGGTGGTCCAATACTAAATGTACTTGGTAACACTTGGCCATTGGATAGTAACACAGATACAGAGAAAACATTTTTTTAACGACAATTAAATCTAAAATAATTTATAAACTCTTTGTATATACATTTCCGCTTAAGCTCACCACCTGACATAAAACAGGTGTTTGTTTTTACTTTTGACTAAGTCTTCTCACTTCCTCAACTTTGATTTGAAAATAATGATAAAACTGGTGAAGTGTTACAGTTTCCTCCTCCCAGAAATCAGTCCATAAGTGACCTTGACTGTATGTTGTAATTTCACAAACCATTGATGATACAGTTTCCCACACTCAAAGCTAATAATCAACTCACATTGGTGGCATTAATAATGTAATATAAAACACCTGGTTGTGTGGCTGAGTATAAATGTCAATTTAAGTAAATGATTTGTGAGTTTTGGCAAAACACTCAGGGGACGTGTGGTTGGATTTAATGGATTTAATTTAACTTGGTGTTCTGTGTGGCTGCAGCTTTCTGTAATGAAACGATATGAGGGTGGGTTTGGGTTGGGCCCGAACCTTTTCTCCTCCACCAGGACGCTTCCATTCTGCAAAGCTGTCCTGACTTTGTTGATGATGATCTCGACTCGGACCAACAGCCCGTTGTCACCTCGCCGTATGGTGACATCACATCCCACCCGGTTGTGGGTGAAGCGTGTGAGTGTGAACGGGCAGTTGGACCGAACATAGAAACTTGAACCGCTGAAAGTCTGAACGACCCCGCTGCCTAATGTCCTGCAAGTGTCTGATCACAATTTAAAGATTAATGTTAGACAATGAGGACATAAGTGAGGTCAGAAATTAAGCAAAAAAGTCAATTCAATTACTTGGTTATGTTAGATTTAAGGTTTAAAATAGTACTGTCAAAATGTATTCTGTTTATACCCAATGTCAGGAATATCATCCTTTCAATAATCAAGTTAGATCTCAATTTTGTAAATTCACTTTTTGTAGTAGTATCATGTATAATATGATTTTTAAGAGTACCATTTCAAAATCAATAAGCCAAATGCTCAACTTTTATTTTCAGTCTTATATATATATAAATCGTGTTTATTTGCCACATACACAATCATACACAGTGCAACGTGCAGTGGAATTTGTTTGTACCTAGCTGCAGAAAGCTGCTATATAATTCAATAAAATATCATAAATAAACCTTTTATTTATTTATTTTTTTACTAAAGGAACAGTAAAACAATATATCAGCATGTTTCAGAGAAATTAAATTCAACAGCAAAACAATGAAACAGCACGTTTCAGAAAATGTTTAAACAATATATCCAGTACTTATGACATATGCAATAATGTTAAAAGGTAATCTGTATAATAAACTGATCAATATCAAGCATTGATTGATTTGTACTCACATGTCTGAGTATCGGTTGTTGTGACCACTTCCCCTGTGCCAAAAACTACGAGAGAAATACAAAGTCATGGTGGAAGTAAACATTAATTATAATGAAAAATTATGAATTATGAGTAACAACACAAATACTTACTAATAGGGTTGTTATTATTATACAAGATACAGTATTTAGATATGTAAGGCACAGATGCACAGATGCAAATCAGTGGTAGTAAAAGTAAAAGTAGCAATAGCACAATATTAAATTCTGAAATCCCTAAATAGAAGATGTCACGTAAGTAAAAGTATTATCATCTCCTTCGACTTCAAGTCAAATTATTTTCAGCTACCTCTACTTTAGAGTACCAAAAGGAAAAGTACTCACAATTGGGAGCAATTGTTCCTGTCAGTGTTAACTAATTGACTTAATACTTTATTGGATTATTGATTGGTACTGACTGATTTAACAGTGTATCGTATTTTTGAGCCTATCATGTGTTTTGTGTGCACATTCTAAATTTGTAAAGTAACTACGGAAGCTGACGAATAAATGTCATGGAGTACAAATGTATTTTTGATAGTATAGTAGAAAAATAAAGCAGCATCCAATTGAAATACTTAAGTACAGTAAATAAAAACAATTATTCCACCACGCATCCAGTGGAAACAAATACTTTTTTAGAACAGCAAGAGTTAAAATATTGCACTTTATCATTTTGCTGTAAAATTCCATAGTAATTAGATGTTGCAATATCCTTGTCCCTGGTCACTTTTTTTCTGCTTAGAAGAATTAATTCCTATTCAATGATTAAATGAACAATTGCAACATGGTACCTGAGGTCAGTGAAAAGCAGAATGCCAGCATCCATCGCTGTGGGGTCATGCTGCCGGATTGCTGCAGGAGAGCAGGTGGAACCAAGAAGAACTGCACAAACAAGCCCCCCACAGGGCTTATATGTGCAGTGTCAATCCACACACAATTGGAGCCACCCCGCCCCGTACTCATGCACACAATATACCAGGAAACTAGAAATAGAAAAAATACATAGGTTAAACATTAACCTAATTGGTAGTTTGCAGGAAACCAGCTTAATGTAAAGCATATCATGTTGCATTCACAATTGAAACTAATCTATTTCAACCACAACAACACCTCTGATACTCACTACCGTGGGAAATTGTGAGTGTATACTGATTAGAAAGAGGTCAGGTTGGATGCACAAACACAGTGTGGACGACTGAATATCAACTGCTTAAGAGAGTTTGGAACTTATGTCGGTTCTTTTATTTCCTCAAAACCCAATGTTTCCTGCCAGAAATAGCAACGACTTGTTCATATTTGAGTCATCAACCTCACACATAATGGGTAAAATATTAAGTGTATTGTGGACGAAGTCGGAACGATTACTTTTGGCTCTAGTGAACCAGACAATGCTTTTTGCTGGTTAACAAAGGACAAGTGGATCAATGGGTGCATGAACCAGGATGTAGTTAGTTATTTTTTAACTTCAGAGCTCAGGGAGGGTTCCACATGACGTTTTAAAGACGTCTTCTTCAGCTACTCAGATTTATTTTCATGCAAAGATTATACTTTAGAGCAAACTGAGTTAAAATGCTTCTTAGTTTAAATCACTGAGGTGTTAAAAGAATAATGGCTTATCAACACATCAGTAGGCCGAGATTTAAGCCGAGACCTATCACGCTAACCCACCGCCTGTGATATTGAGATATTGCGTACCAATTCAAATATAGTGTGTGTAGATATTAGGACTGAGGAGTACTTTTACTGCATAAAACTAAACTGGAACTATATAACTACAACTGCAGTAACTTGGTATTGGTTGAAGGTAAAACTAAATTCAAATATAAGTAGTGTTTAAAGTAGCTAAATACAGCTGCAAACCACTACAGAAGAATGTGAATGCATATGTATGTATATGTATACCATAAACTGTCTATGGATAAATAAACCGTTGTGCTCTGCTGACATTTCACTATCATGAGGTTTAACTTGTTGTCATAACTCATAGTTAAGTACAGAAAGTTATGTCAGTACAACATGGATAAAATATTGGATCATTTACTTAAAAACTGGTTGTCCAGAAGCAAAAGCTGTTCTGAGAGAGAGCCATCTGATGATGCTTCATGGCCATGTTTATGAGGTCATAGGAGAGCAGCGCCTGTGTGTGTTTTCCTCTATCCAATAGGTCACAGTCTTTATGTACATGTCCTCTTTGGAATATAATGTGCGCAGAAAAATTCCAAGTGAGGAAAGAGTTTGCTTCATTCCCCGAGGAGCAAGAATGTTTGGTTGTTCTAGTGTTTTATTTCATGTGGAAATGTTATCGTATGTTGCTGCTATAGTGGAAAGATCAGGTCGCTAACATTCTGTCTGAGATCCATGTCTACTTTGAGAGAATCTGGCCAGTAGTTAGTCAAGTGTTAGGCGGTTGACAGAATCGTATCGCCACCCTTAGGCCCTGCCACTCAGCTGGAATCAGAAGGTTAATTTCCCTAGAAGAGACCACCATGTTTTCACCATGAAACCATGTACACCATTATGCGTATAAGCGTGTCCCATTCTTGCCCTCCTTCTCTAATGGGCTCAACCGTGAGCCATTATCATTCCGTATACGGATTCTCCATTTTGTGTGACACCACTGTGTCCACATATTGATCCCCCTCCACACACGGATGCATTTACAACCATGTCATCTCTCCAGGCTGCAGCCGTGCAGCATGTTCACTCGGATTACTTTCTCCGCGTTTGAAGCCATGATCAATAAATGGAGAAGGCAAACAATGATAATGGTTTGGGCGTGTGAAAGAGGCAGATCCGAACAAGACAGACCAGGGTTTCGGTTTGGATGAGGGCAGACGTTTTGACAATGTCAAACACAATGACTTGTTCCAGCCTCTTTGTTGTGAGGATTTGCTGCCTCCTTTTTGTCGTGTGTGATGGTAAACTCAACATATGTTAAACAATTATGGACCAATCGGTTTGACAAAGCAAGCAATGTTAAGACAAGAGCTTGGGCTTTGGGAACTGGTTTGATAATCAATCAATCATTCAAGTAATCTTTTAGGCAAGCTCGTCAAAGGGTCACTGGTTTCAGCTTGTCAAGTGTAAATATTTGTTGGGTTTCATTGTATTCTATGTTCTTAAACAAAACGTCTTCGCTCTTTGGTTGGATAATCAACGTGGATTTGGGCCTGTCAGCGTGTGTCACGTCCCCTGTCTGTGTGTTTGCGTTGAGTAAAGTCAATCTAGCAGACATGTCAAACTCAAGGCCCGCGGGCCAAATCCGGCCCTCGGTACAGTTACGTATATCCAACCCGCGAGAAAATATCATATACGTCTATCATAACTGGCCCGCCACACCACAGAGCTCCGGGACGAAACGTGGCGATGTGAGCTGGCCTTTTTGTGCGATATAGCGAAGCATCTCACTGCGCTAAACCTCCAGCTTCAGGGACGGGGGCGTGTGATCACAGACATGTGTGATCACAGATATGTATAATGCAGTGAGAGCTTTCCAAGCCAAGCTGCGCCTGTGGGCGACTCAGATGCAGCAAGGAAGCTTGGGTCACTTTCCGTGTTTCCAAACCGTGTCTCCACCGCTGTGTTCCATATTGCTGATAAACTTGGCGCACTTGGCGCAGAGTTCACTCGGCGATTTGCCGACTTTGCAGCTCGGAAATGTACTGAACTGCTCAGCAATCCGTTTGTTGACGTGGAAAGAGCACCTGTGCATATCCAAATGGAGCTGACAGACCTCCAGTGTAATGCCACACTCAAGGCAAAGTATGACTCTGTGGGCGCTGCACAGTTTCCAAGCTTCATCCCCGAAACATTTGCCTCAACTCCGCCTACATATTGCTCAAATGCTCTGCATGTTTGGAAGCACATAGGCTACCTGTGTGAGCAGCATTTCTCTGTGATGAAGATGAACAAAAAGTCCTCTCACTGATGCACACCTTCACTCAATCTTGAGGGTTTCCACAGCACAGAACCTAACCCCAGATATTAATGAACTGGCAGCTAAGAGAAGATGCCAAACGTCTGGCTCTGGTACATATGCATGAAAGAATGTAGCCTATTTCTTTTTGCGCTTTCTCCAATATCCCTGTTATCATGTTTATTAAATATTGACCCTATTTGGCCCTCAACGTAGTCCCAAATTTTAATTGTGGCCCTCTCTGTGATTGAGTTTGTCACCACCTTGCAGGATCCTGGACATGTAATACTAGAGTCACACCTGCAGGGGGCAGCCGTTTTCCTATTATGCCTGAGGCAGCAGCTCGTCTGTGAATTTATGGTGACTGAAGCCAATCTGAATTGCCATTCATTGTTAAGGATATATATTTCATATTTAAGTACCTGTAATTTAATTTATGTGTAGTACGTATATCTAAACGTACCCTTGTCCTTTTTTATGTTTTACTCTACTTTGTTAGAACTTAGATTTTGCATGTACCTAATAGATGTGCGTCAACATGCACTTCCTAGTTGCCCTATACTTCCACAGTGATTTATTAGTGCTAACTGTTTTCAGTAATCTATATAATCGCCATGACTGAATTGAGTTGTAGAAGACTAAATCTCCGCCATAAACGCTCCACTCCAGCATCGTGTGCTTCCACAACAATATTTATTTGCGTCATGCCGACGCTAGCGGTGACGAACTGCTCCACTACACTCCTCCTATCTTACCTTTCCTCCCCACTCTTCATCAACTCTCCCATCAGGACCACGGGGATGTGATGCACTGATACAGACCAGGCTGGAAAACAACTTTGTATTTTGAGGGGTGGGGAGTGATCGTGGATAGCTCACGCGGCAGTAACTCCAAACTGAGGGGGGTGGAGGGGTGGGTCAATTAGTAAAGTGTGTTTTTGTTTGCTTTATTTTTTTTATTTGATTTTTTGCACCATCAACTACAACTAAGCAGCCCCGTCCTGTGTTGTGTTTCCCATATGTCGCGAAAGCAGGTCGACCATGACTACAATCTCCGTAGCATGAGCAACCTGATGGGCGAGCGGAGGAAGAAAGTGAGCGATGGAGGAGAGCGGAGTCTCATCAAGGCTCCGTCCAGCGCCAGCATCAGCAGCCAGGGCGCCTCCGCCGGGGCTTCCACCGCAGGCGCGCCCGCGGCACCCGCCGCCTCCTCCTCCACCACCACCGGGGACCTGGAGAGGGCTGCGCGCAAGCAGTTCCAGCAGGATGTCACGCCCGGCTTTGTCTACGTGCTGGCCGCGTTCTCCGCCCTGGGGGGGTTCTTGTTCGGCTACGACACCGGGGTGATCTCCGGGGCGATGCTCCTGCTGAAGAGGGAGCTGGACCTGAGCGCCCTGTGGCAGGAGGTGCTCATATCAAGTACTGTGGCCGCGGCTGCCCTCTCCGCCCTGCTGGGCGGCTTCCTCAACGGGCTCTTCGGGCGCCGAGTGTGCATCCTGCTGGCCAGCTTCTTCTTCGCCGTCGGGGGGGTCGTCATGAGCACCGCCCCAGGCAAGGAGGTTCTCCTGGCGGGGAGGCTCATCGTCGGCGTGGGGCTCGGTAAGACATGTGTTCAACACGCTCTCCGTTCCCTTCAGTCCAGCATTGAATTAATTGCATTTGAACCCAACAGATTAGGTTTAGGCCTCCACATAACTTTGATGTTGACACAATTGTTTTTAAATGGAAAGCAGTTCAATTGTCTCACCCCTCAGGCAGCACTAATGCTAAAGTGATATGTTATTGATTTCTGTGTCAGCATTTACCCACTTGCTCTCCATCATAAAGTTCAGAGGTCATAATTGGACTAATTGCCCCCTAAGGCCACAGGTCTCAGCTTACCATTTCCTCCCACATGTCTTATTTCTGCCTCTCCCTGCCTCAGGTCTCATATTTGCAATTACCCACCGCTTCTAATTACACAGCGTGTCCCTCCGCTTGCTCAGGCTGCATGCCACTGGTTGTTAAGACAGCTTGCTGTCTTCATTATTATAATCATTAAGATTGTTATTAGATTTAGTTGGGTGCCATTAAGGAATTAGAGAAAGCTAACTCTGAGTGATGAATTAAAAAGGTTGGATATTATCCCAGCATGCCCAAAAGGAGAGCCAAGACGAACCTCGAAGCACGCGGGAGACGTTTGGTGTCAATGAGGTTGTCTCCATCACACACTGATGTCAGAGTTACATGTATCTGATTGGCCCCATCCCTGCTTCCTCCCCTAGGATAATACCTTTGCACATTCCCTTTCTACTTCTTCCTTCCCATGCATGAATATTTTTCGCCCTCTTTCTCCTCTCTTCAATCATCCCTCTCTCTTGCCTCTTCCTCCTTCTACTCTCCGCACGCTTCGACATGCAACGCGCCCTTTGATCCGAATTCAATGTACCCCAAATTATTTATAGTGGTCGCTGTTACTCATGACTCACATCCTCCGCAGAAAGGACTGTTAAAACTGGCTTTCCAGGCTGAGCGCCACGTCGATGGCACTTGGTACGCCACCCCCTCTGAGAGTAGTAAGCTCTCTGCTCAGTGATAACGTGGAGGAATTGCAGACCATTTCCTCTCCTCAGTCAACCACTGGGAAAGGAGGGGAGGCTTAATTCTTTAATAAACACAGCTGACTACAGAGAGGAGCTCTGTGTTTCCTTCCTCTACGAACTAATTATTGATGTTTGAATCAAGATTTGGCGTCAGACCCCTTTTAGTACATTTGTAATTCCTCTTGTGATAAATGGCTGTAATTTAGATTATTGTCGTGTGGCATATAAATCAACCGTACTATAGTAAGTGTTGTTTTTTTAAAATCTGGCATCATGAGTGTGCAGAGGATGAATGCTTCTTGGCTAATCTTCCACCAGGTGGGAAACACCTCTGGATAAATTGCAAATAGGAAATAGGGGAATACTTCTCTGAGTGGTATTTTTCAATGCGCGTTAGATGCAGTGCGAGTTTTTTATTTTGGTTATAAAAGACATCCTGGATTACAGTAAAGTTTGTTTTGATTTTTAGCAACTTCAGGGGTGATTGACAGGAAGTGCTGATGCAAAGCACTCAACTCGGGTGCAATGAAACGACAGCTAAAAACGTTGACGAAACTAAAATGAAGCTTCGTGTTCCCTGTGATGGAAATAGCTTGGGTAACTTCTCAAGTCTGTGGGAAAGGCTTTTCTCACTGGACAAGAACGAATCAAATTAACGAGCCTCGAGCCTTGTGAAGGGTCCAAAATGAGCCTTAATATCTTCAGATACCCTGTGTGCAAACTCATAAAGCCTTTCCTTTTACTCTCTGAAATATTTGCATACCTGTTGCTATTGGAGACATTGATTATATTCTGCTGCTGGAAACGTACTTAAAGATGCTAAATTTAATATTCGGCGCGTTTAGTGCATGTTGACACCACGACCGCCATGTTGAGAGCCACATGGAAGCAATAGAAATGCTCCCAATCTTGTATATAGCATCTTTACTGGGGTTATGGTGTTGGCCAAACATGTGAAATGCAGATTGAAAATGCAGCAGCTACACACTTCATTTACATACACAAGCTCTGACTGCTAATATGGAGAATCTAATCACCGGGGTCATTTCAAGCTGCTATATTATGAGTAGCCCCTCCCCCTTCTGCCATCACAATCTTTACCCATACGGACATCTTCATTACGCAGGTGTGCACGAGCCGGCCCTGATAGATAATGAAACACTTCCTGGCACCACAATTAGCTACCGGAGACGCTAATAAGGCGCCATTTTTAATTGCACGCAATTATTTTCGGCCTGCACACACACACACACACACACTCACTAACGTGACCGGCGCTTCTTTGGAAAGCTAATTGCTTACCATTTCTGAACTCGCCACAAAGGTCACCGGAGCTGTTCGTCAAACCAGGAAAGGCCATACACCACCAAGCCCTTCCTCTCTGTCTGTCTACCACATGAGCGTCTGGTTCATCTGTTGTTGTTGATCTGCCCTTTGCCTGAGCACAGGGACTGTTTTCTGATACGAGCTGTCGGTAGTCTGGGCCGTATTGAACCAGACTGTTTGACAATGCCAAGTTAGGTAATAAATCCTTGTCTATCGCATCAAATTAAGAGTTTTTTCGCGCTGCACAGGATATTTGTGGAAAGATGTTTCAATCATGGAGGAGAAATCCGCTCTGGCTAGCTGTCTTGGTTGTGTGATTTGTGATGTGGAAGGAGAGTTCTTTTTTTCAATCAAGCGTAGCATTTTAATCTTGGACTCTTGAGAGACCTGCCAGGGATAGCCGACCTAGCATGTAAGCCATGCAAGCTATTATTGCTTCTTTTTTTTCCGTCGACCACACCGGCTGTGGGTTTAATGACTTTTTTTTTTATCAGTTTATATAAAAGATGTAGCAATAGATACATTTCAGTTGGAATTTATTTTTGACAGTGACAATACATTTTCTTTAAACCTGCAATTATAATTTTTTTGGCCGCTTTGTTGCAGCACAAACAAAAACACACACACAGGACATTTTACTGCTGAAAAATAAACTTGTCAAAGAAGTAAAACCGTAAAAAAAAGAGGCAGGTTGGTTTAAAAGCTTTACTGCTTTACTTATTCGCTTTTCTGTCGGGAGTTTTTCGATATTTTAATTGGACAAACTAGCGAAGCTACCAACAATTAGCCCACTGACAACTTTGGCCATTTCCAATCTGTCATGTGACCCTTGGCCTGCAGTTCCTAGCGGTACCTCGAGAGTCTCTCTCTAAAATAGCGGATTCTCTCTGTGCTCTCCTTGTTAGATATAAAGGGTTGAAAAAGAGCCATGAAATGTTTTTCTGAAAAGAAATCCGCTCTGATGCCTTCAGCCCTCGTTAGTCATAATCCATTCCCTCACACATACACAAACGCACAAACATAAGCCCACACCCTCGCAGTGTGTGTGTGTGTGTGTGTATAATAATGTTTTCTGGCTAAATTATCAGTTGCAAATGTTGAATCCTTGGAGACAGCGGATGAAGGGTCTGCATAAAAACGGCGCAGTTAATTAGATTGTGATAAGATTTAATTATTACCGGTTTGACAACTAATTGGTTGGTTTACATAATTAAGTCCACAATTCTCAGCCTAACCAGGTGGAAGCTATAGACGTATCGAGTAGTTTGTTTATGCCCATATTACTGTTGTTTTGTGGAAATCACATCACTAAAAGGTCAAGTGTTCAAGAAATTAGTTGTTTTTGGCTTAACATTTGTGAATTTTGAGTTTTTTTTCTCTCCCCCATGTGGTTTTATAAGAACACAGTCCCACATGTGACTAATCTCTAAAGTGGAGTTACATAATAAACAACTCCAGTCCAAGTCCGATGTCAAACTAGGCACACTTATTGAATTGAATTAAAAACGGACACAACCTCTCCTGCTTTTACCACTGAATTTAATCACCACTCACACCACTTACCCACTTGAAAGTCAACAACAGCATCATCTGGGGGAGGTTTCGCTTCATCTACGCGTTTTCAAGGATGCTCCATTAGCCTCTAATTAGCTTCCTCCAACACAACCAGCTACTTAGTAGCAGAAAATGTCCTGCCTGTCTCTTTACCACATAGCAGTGATGGAAGGTCTGGTGGAGTATGTCCTCCTCGGTCTCTGATCAAGTGAGTCGGGCCCGATATTTGTACTACGTGCCCGGAGGCTGCCTTCAGACAGATTCTTTGTTTAACTGGGCCGCGCTGCTTTGAGGCTGAGCGTGGCCAGACGATGACTTTATGAGGGTGTGTGTGTGTGTGTGTGTGTGTGTGTGTGTGTGTGTGTGTGTGTG